TTAATTGCGTACCAGAGGTTGCCATGGTGTGAAAAATTGATCGCTACCATACAAAATTAAAAATGATTTGTATATCTTTCATATTCAGGCTAACCAATCTCTAATACGTATTTCAAAAATTTCCCACTCAATTTAGTCAAATACTTGATGTAGAACATTTGTTCATGACAACTGTTTCCTTGTGTATTTCTTCGTACATCGACCATTATCTTTTATCAGTGTAATGAATATTATCATACGATTCTTCAATGAACTTACTAAACAACTCATTTTCATATCATGCATTCTCAACACTATAGAACAACTTGATCTATAAAGAAAAAGTCATTTTTATGAGCAAAATACTTTAACCTTTTTCATTTCAATAGGTAATTCGAGCTCATTAAATAGATTTGAGATCGTTAAGATAATAAATATTAAAATTGTAAAATAATGTTAGGGATAGCAGTGGACAAAAATGTTAAGTAAAAAATTACAAACCTAATCACTTTGTGACACTTTCTCAAAAGTGCATTTTATGAACTGTGCTTCACAAACATTTGCAAATCTTTAATTGAAAAAGAATCAAGATGATTCATTGAACGATATTAGCAAACATCCTTTGAAAGGAATAACCAAAATTATGCACAGAAAAGAGAAAGGAATGCAAACAAACTTCAGTCTAAAACTATAAGCAATATCACTCTAACATTCAATATGTAAAAGTAATAAATCATTCAGTGAACAACAACGCTCCCAATAAAATGAACGAAATATTGCAAACTTATTTCGCATTAACTATTTCGCACTCTTAACGCAGTCGATGCTTATAGACAAAAGTATTTTTATCAAAAGTTAAGAAAATATCAGAAATATTTTGTAAATAATGTGAATTGGTTTATTAGAGATTGCACAGGGTAACAAAGGCAACTAGCGCAACCAAAAATTTATTATACATTTTGTAAATAAGTTATTAGTTATACCTTCAAACTTCACTCGTTTCATATATTTTCTGCGGAAGTTCTGTACATTTCATGATTGCAATAAATTTTAAAGTCGATATGAAATTCAGTTCAGGTGTATAGTTATTTCTGTCACATGGTATATCACATCATTTACAATAAATAATGATGACATAGAACGCATTTGCTTTAAAAATATCAGGCTAGACTGTTCTAAAGAAATTGTTTTGCTGAACAAAATTCATTATTATCCAACATATTCTTTGAATTATTCTTGTTTATACTTCTTTATATGTAAGAGCTTAATGCAATAACAATTTAATGGATTAAGAATACTAGAAATAACATGAGAATCATGGTGACAGGCTGAAAATTTAAGGAAAAAATTAAGGTGATAATATGGGTTAGAATGAAGTAGATTAAAATTATTAATTTTTCAGTTTGCATCAGTCAGTTTTTTACAAAACTTCTTGATAGTTCAATCACTGAGCTTAGTGTTCAGCAAAAATTAATATAATAAGCAAGAGATTAGTAAGCGAAATGTTCTAAATCTCGAAAATATAGAGCAGTATTGATGTTGCCAAAAATTAAGAAGAAAGAACGTCCCCATAATATTCATTAATATTGAAAAGTGACCAAGTCATGAGCAGGTCACCACATTATGAACATACACCACATTCCTTCCCTTCTTCTAGCAAAACATTCATCAAATTTTTGCTTTTTTTTGCATTTATTCTGCTCATTTTTAAATACTTATATGCTTGTTGATAGAATTAAATGAGATATCATCAAACAAAACTGTCTGATTAGTTTCTTCCAAACTTTCTCGTCCTTTGCTCTTATTGGATATCCATAACCTTTTTTATATTTGTGTCTTAGCAAATGTGTCAAGTGACTTTGCTCTCTGACGAAGACCATATCGCACTGTAAAACATTCTTCAAGCTCATATTTCTTTTTACTGATAACTAATCCTTGATAACTATCAATGGTAAGTCAGCCAGTCATCATAAGCTATGAATCATTCAAATGATGCGGACAATTTCAATGCTTCGTTCAATACAAGGAAGCATCACACAGTAAACATCTAATCCTTCACTTTCTCATAGAAAACAATTCTTGGTGATAAATAGATAAAAGTCTATTGTCATAAAGTTTGTCACCAAAATTAACAATCTTTTTTTCACGTCACTAATAACATCAGTTTGAATAATTTCTAATATTGAAGGTGATTTCAGCTTATCAACAGAAAATGTGTTGGAGTGAATTTGAATCAACAAATTTGAAACAGACGTGAACGACGCTTATATTGCTGTTCAATTCACTACTAATTTACATTCACACTCTCTGTTTGGTGATCTAAGTTCATCTATTTATCAACAAAGAATAAGTTATGCTTATTAATTAGTCTTTGAAAAGAAAAATGACATGTTTCAGCAAGAAAACTGCTTTTCAAAATGAGGAATTGCAGAAAGAAATTTCTCTCTTACCGACTACTCCAAGTTTTTCATAAAATTTATCTCCTACTCTCTTTCAGCTTCTTCCTTTCTGCCGATTTCTCTTTTCCCCCAGTCAAGTTTAAGGTGCTATGTATTGATAAAAAGAATTGTTTCTCACAAAGATTAGAACGATCTGCTACCGCTCACTATTAGTCCTATCATTTTACGAACGCTATTTGCACTAACAGAAAAATTTCTCCGCAAATGTTCGGGAATAAACTTGCATATCAGTGCAGCCATTGCTGATATGATGGCCAACTGTGTCAGCTATGAAATGAATCGCTGTAAGAAGTCAGAACTTTCTCTCTTCTTCAGACATAACCAGCTTGTAACATGTAATGATGCAACAAAACACCAACAATTCAATGTTATTAAACTGAAAAAAAAAAAAAAAAAAAACTATGAAACTATGCTGTTGAACACTGAAATTGCATATCAAATTCGAGTAGCGTTCCTTCATTCTCTAGCAACAGAAATATACAATTCCAAAAATATCTCCAGAGCAGCTTCATTTTCTTCAACAGAAATGATGTCTATCAAATATGCTTCATCAAAATTACATGAAGAATCGAAATTTCATTCAAATTTAACAAGCTGATAGAAATGTCTTTTTACAAGGAAATCATTTCGAATATTTCCACACGAGATGGCAACATAGATGAAATTTGAGAAAAATATTCCTGATAGAAAGAGAAAGATAAGTGAAGATAACTAAAGCATTTGTATCTCAAGTTAAGAAGGTATTGCGTGACTGATCAAAACAAATGTGAACCCAGTGATGTTCAGTGAGCGACTGGGTGAAATCCGTTAAGTAGTAATAATAAGATCGTGTGTGATAATCAAATTAGCTAATCTTAATTTTAAAATGAAGCGGGATATCTTTAACATTATATGGTTAACAGCCACAGCCTTCTCTGATTCACATTTGTCAATTTGAAGAAATTGGCAAATTAGGAATGAGGAAAAAAAACGAGTCACTAATGACTCACATAATCATGAATATATCTCTTCATATCAATTATATGGCAAATAATAGATATTAATAATTTGAAAATTTTATTTAATTATATCTTTTGAAGCTTTCCTTTCCATCCTGGTATTTCTCAGATAGCCTTTGCACTCCGGTTCTTGTGTATTAAGGAATAAAGATACGTTGAAATATGAGCTGACATTTTAGTACCAACATCTCAACATTTGGATTTTAGCACAACAGAAATAAAAAGCATTTACGCCCCTCTGATGTTAAATAAGTTCGTCAAGATTTTGGTGAGTTTATCCTCGTACTAATAATTAATTGAAGATATACTGGATCTGCACTTGTACAGAAATGATGATATGCTTGCTTAAAGCTGCTGAATTCATAAAGAAAATTTGAATACTTTTTGTGGAGACGTACTAAATAACCGGCTAACATTTATTGATAAGGATGATTAAAAAATGTATGGAATCTAACGAAATCCATTATAATGTTTCATCAACAACAATCTTTAATACTGGAAGAAATTTCTCGCAGTCTTCCTGAGATATGCCCGAGATTCGGGAAAATGGTGGAAAAATGTCGAAACTGGATTAGATGGGTGGCAAAATGAGAATCAAACCCACAGCCAATTGTCCATTCACCAAATTGAAGAATCAAAAGAAATATTAGCTGGAAAGCCTTGTCAATTCGAACTACCCACATCCTTTCTGCCTCTCACTCTTGATCACTGAATTTGCTTCACTCTCTCTTGCTATCAAAAAATCGGTTCTTCTCAGAATTTCTAAATGCCTGCAGCAATATTGCATCACAATCTCCTCAGTCCCTCCCGTTCCTTCACTTCTCTCACTACCTCCCCTTTCTGCATGTTGTTTTTATGAGTAGCGGTATGTTCGATTGTCCTGGTCTGTTATTAATCGGTATTCACCCAAGTCCATTTATTCCACTTCTCCAGCAGTCTTACATTGCATTCTTCTGTAGGGATTTCTTTTCATTAGTATGTCAACCTTCCACTCATAGCAATACTACTATGAGCTAAATTGATAAAAGATAGGAACATGATAAAAGAACACGACAGCATGTGATACACATCTATAAAATCCTATCCAATTGAAAACAATCACATGTAGATATTTTGATATTCGTCTGTTGAATCACCATTTGTATTAATGTTTTCCCGCAAATATCCAGGAAGTGCGCACGATAGAACTCCGAATAAAGAAAAATTAATATTCTAAGCAAAACTTAGAAGAAAATCGATTTCCCATTTTCTTTATTCGTTTACAATTCACAGACGTTACTTTGAAATATGATATTAGATTAAAAATTGGTTCCTTTCCATTCTACAAACGAATAATTGGGATTCGCAGCTGATAACTTGAGTACTTGGTATTTGCTGCAGCTTTGATTAGCCATTCATCATTTCACGACAGGTTATTGTAGAAGGAAGCAATGATTGACTTTTATGCTGATTTACCTGAAAGATTGTTCTTCAAAAATATTTCTCATATTTTTTACACTATGATGGTTTTTAGCTTTTAGGTTATTTAAGAAGGTTTGTAGTTGTTCGATTATAGCATTTGTGGATGAATCGACGTTTTCCTGAATGTACAATCTTCCTGGTTCTTCTTTTCTTTTCGATAGTCTATGGTACCCTTTCTAAATCAGATCGGAAAGAAAAGTGGAAAAACTTTCAAGGAACCGAAGAAAAACGAAAGGGGGGAAATAACAGTCTGAGGCAATCAAAAGTAACCTTTCTTGCCTAAATTTTCATTACCCTTCAGGAGAAGCACAATATTAACATTTTCTCCCTCTTTTATATGCATTGTATATTTTCAAATTTTCAAAAATTTTCTGAAAAAGATTTGTGAAAATTTTTGAAAGTTTCAGTTTACCATGAAGTGCTAAGCTTTTATAATGCACAAAAATGTTGCTAGACAAAAGTATTCCCCTGTACTAAATTATGATGATGCCTGCTTTTTATTTTAGCATTTCGAGGATAATGCTGGAAGAGTGACTGTTGCAGGTATACTTAATGACCATAATAATTTGTGCGTGGAGAAAAGAAAGTTTAACCACCCTATATTGGCTTATATTACACCGGTGAGTTTTGTTTCAACTGTTTCGGCTGATAGAAGTATACTTACGAGGTTGAGTACTAAGTTCCCGGGGATTTGAATATGAATTTAATACACACTTTTAATAGTGCTTGATAAAGTTCTTATCTCCAACATCAAATAATCTTGTTAACAGTAATTCTATTTAGCTATAATTGAAACATTTGAGTTGTATATGTTTTAATTGCTTCTGAATTGTTATATATGCTTGTCATATATTATCTCTTTCTCGAAGTTTTTAAATTCCATCGTATTTCCGAGAAAAGGTGAACGAAGAAAAGTGGAGATGTTGAGTTCAGTCGTAGTATGCGAAACATTAAAAGGATAATAGGAGGTGGTGTGTGTTTGTAATATGAACAAACTTCCAAGAATTTGTAGTGGAATAATGGTGGGTATAACATTGCGAAATGGGCGGCTCAAAAATTCACTCATATATCTCCAGTTTGGTTTCAATTTAAGCCAGAAGTGAAACAGAAAACATGTATTATACTTGGAATTCATGATATGGATATACGTAAGCTGAATATTATTTTGTGTTTTTTATTTAAACAAACATATTTTTAAGCCATTAATAATGTGCCATATACTGAACTTTTCGATCAGTTTCTTTCAGGAGTTATTAAATTTATGTGGTGTTAAGTGACATTTATTTTAGAGTGGTTGGCTGATGTTCATGCAAATAATTCAAAAATCAAGTTTGTGCCACGTTTTATCATTGGGGAATCAGCACGCGAAAGTATTGAACGTTTTTTATATGATGAAAGATGGCAAACAAATTGTGCTCAATTAGTTGTCAATTTCATAAAGGTTTCAGTTTCGATTAGTTAAGTTGGATATCACATCCTGTGCAGTGCTTTATGAATCTTTTGTAACTTGACAGAAAAAACCAATTCACAGGTAGTAGCGCTTATCTGTTATACAAGAAAACCTTTGCATTTTTGAAATAGTATGGAAGTGAAGGACAAAGAGAAATAATTTATTTCTTTTATATGTGCACTTACTTGATGTTGTATGATGTAAGTATGCTGTCCTTCAATGAAGGCATAAACGTTTAAATTACCAGTATTTTCAAAATGGGGTTAATTAAAAAAGTTCCAGAAAAACAAGATGCATGGAGCGGTCATAGAAGTTTGGCTTCAAGTTTTGTCGTTGGTTCAAAAAGAAGTGAAAGAGTGAGTAGGTTTTTCTTTTATCAGTAATGTTTTTTTTTTTTCAATGAATTATGATAGGCTGCTCATTACCGATACTTTGTTATGCAAATAATCATTTGGCTCGACATTCCAGGGAAAGAAATTCCAGTAGTATTTCTTGAAGCCTACTTACATTCTTTTTGCTATTTTTTATCTGTTATATATTATAAAACTTCGAAATAAATCGCATAAATTATTACAGAGAACTGATTGAATTGGTTTCACACTGGGCAGAACTTTTTCATCAGGCTGAACTTGAAATTATTGTGCCTCTTCCTGTACCTCTCAGTGACAAGTAGCTTTATATCGTTTCTCAAGTCGTTCAGTTGGACGTATTTCTTTCTGTTATTATCTTCAAAACTTTTGCTGAAAGCATTCATGGATTACCGTTTAGATCTAATCAAAAAAGAGTAGGAGCTGTGCTTTTTAGAAAATTATACTTTCTAGTAAGATATCTAATTTTATATGCTAAATTTACTGAAAACGGATTAATGAAATTATTGTACTGAAAGAGTTATCAAACCTTTTATATAACGACGAAATACGTACATAGTGTAAATGCAAATATATACATAATGTAAACGCAGAAATAAGAAAGTGTAAATGCTTTCTTTATTCAAATACCGAGTGTCAGTTTTTCTGGTTTCGATCTCTTATCAGGAAATCGTTAGTCCTTTTGAATTCTTACTGATCATTACCAATCATTCTAGAAGTGAAAGCAAAATGGTATTTTCAGGAATAAACCATCCGGAGTTGTAATGAAGGCAGAATTGGCCAGAATAATAAGTAGTGTCGACTTTGTCAATGTGATGACATATGACTACAATTCTGATCAGTAAGTAAAAAGTCCTTAGTCAGGTAGTTTAATTGAAAAATGGAACCTATTTTTTGAAGGAATATCTAGAACGAAGTACCTTCAATTTTGTGTGAAACATGTCTTCTCAAGTTCAGATTGCAGCCTTGTCTAGAATTTTTTGCATTTATTCACTTAATTGCCACTATACGGATTCTGGAAAGGCTAATGAACTTCTGATATTTCTATATTTACTATTGTTTTCTGGTGGTTTTAGCTCGTGTCAGCCAAATCAAATTAGCAGCATGAAAATATGATGGAAGTATGATATGACAAAAACTGTGTCGAAAAAAATGTAAAATTGTTGGAGTTTAGAAAAGGATGTATAAGATGCGCTTCAAATTTTAGGTGTTAGACAGAATGTTTCAGTTTTGTTGGAGTATCACCATTTGAATGGATTCGACGCAATTTGGAATATATTTTGTCAGATTCATCGATTAATTCGTCCAAACTTCTTATGGGGCTCAATTTTTATGGTTATGCTTCTCAACAGACTACAATCAAAGCTGTTATCGGTAAAGAGTGAGTTTCGTACCTTTTTGATTCGGTTTAAACTATGATTTCAAATTTCGTCTTAAAATTTCACATTTCTCCATTTTGTCTTACACAAATGAATGAATAGCCTTTTTGCAACCGAATTGAATTTCACTACCTCTAACTGTAATGTAATAATTTGATTTCTACCCGGCGAAATGGTTATTCTGAAATTCTTTTTGAAGATTGCTAATTAATGCAAATAATGCTGTCATGTTCAGTTATATTTCAGCTTTATCGAATATGTAACATCACAATCAGGAACGTTGTTTTGGAATTCTATAACGAAAGAACATTTCCTCAAAACAAAGTGCTGATTGTTTGTTCTTTAATATTTCTTTAATAATGGTCATAAAACTTTTCACTGTGATTATCCAAATTTTTTTAAATTTTCTGACCACAACATCGGGAATGTTACATGGTGCCATAGGAACTTTAGAATGCATTCAGTTTAAAGTTTTTTGTAGAAATTTGGCTACTGTTCAGCGTGGATATATTTGCATAAAAACTTCTTTTAGTTGAAGAGTGAGTTCAGTCTGCACAGTGGAAATAATGACAAAAATAAAAATTGATGCACTTTCCATGCTTATTTTCTTAAAATAATTTAAACTGGACAGTTCGAATAGAAAAATCTGTTGACGGGTTACTTTGCTTTCAGGGGCGAAGATTTTTGCATTTATCCGACACTGGCATCTTTGCAAATCAGACGAGACCTTGCCAATCATTTTAACGTTGGCCTGGGTATTTGGGAACTCGGACAAGGCCTTAATTATTTTACATGCTTATTTTAATCCTTTTTTAGACATTTAGTATTTATTGTATTTCATCTTTAGAGACTATTTGTCTCTAAATTGTGTAGCAGCATATTTTGGGATGCTGTTGTAAACCGGGGAATATATGATCAAGATTTTTCCTTCCGTTATATCACAAAGGAAGTATTCCATTTCATCATCTATGACGTGTAAAGTGTCTGGTCGATTGAACTTGAAAGACAACAAAATATGTTACTGTTTAAATACGGAAAAAGAAAAAGGATAAAAACGAGAATTTCATAAATCAGGGAAATGTGCCTGGTTTGTGGAATTTTGGATTTGGAGTCCAAGTTCCCATTCACAACTATCTTTATCTTAATTAATAGTAACAATATCGCAGTCGTTTATTGTCCAAATGTGATTATTATTGCTCTAACTGTCTGCAGTATTGCTGTTGTGTCAGATATGCGCAGCATAATAAACCATATATATTGTAGGCGCGTTTATTTTACGTCGAATGCCTAATATACACTTACGTATAGGCGTAAAATAACCTGCAATATATTTTTATGGTGTTTAAAGTGTCTGTTGTTTATTTCTGTTATTGATCTCATGTTCATGTTAGTGTTGCGATCCGTAACAGTGAAATGCTGAGATGCATCGAAATAGTTGCAGAGTCGCTCTTATAAGGAAGAATAGAATTAGTCTCTTTCCATCTGCACTGGCCAATTTGGGAACAATTTTACTTCATAAGAGATATAAGCATTTCATTTGTATATTCAATATATGTGTTAAAAAATAGTAAATTAAAAACACAATCCTATATCCACGTATTTATTTTCTGGGAGTATGATTTTTACTCCTCATTTCGAATAGATATTGAGCTCTGTTGGGTTTTTGTGTCCTCCCCCTTTTGTAAGAAGGCGATCGAGACCATAGACTATAGCTAGCAGCTTGCTAATGAGAAAAGCATTTTAGAGATCGCTGTTATTTTACAATTGTATCATTTATTCTTTTTGACCGCCGAGGAATTTTTATTTCAGTCAGCTTTTCTTTTTGAGAAGAAACATACGGTAAAGGGAAGAAATAGAATATTGTTCTTGCTTGATTGCTTTTGTATAATCTGTTCGAGTGCTTGAATTTCTCAATTCTTGGTTATTATTATTATTACTAGTTATTTTTAATATTTATTGTCATTATTATTAAGTATTACCGATATTGCTATTGTCATTTATTATTATTAATTGTTATTAATTACTTATTACTATTAAATTATTATGGTTATTGATTCTGGTATGTTAATGTCAGCATCGTCAACATCAAAATTGCAAGCCGCTCTTCGTTAGTGAATTTTATATTAATATTAGGCGCAGAAATGCACACAACGAATAGTAAGTACATACAATCAGAGGACCGTGAAACAGAGATGAAAATATGGAATTTGTAATGCTCTATCAAAATTCTGGAATTGTCAAAAGTTCTGTTGAAGTTACAGACAGAAATTAATGTAGGTCCGGTCAGGGCTTGTGATCATCGCTGTTATCATTATCTTTTGTAGAGCGTGATTGCCAATACGAAACCTGAGGGTTGTTTCGTTCCTTTTTCAAAGAAGGCTGGCTGGTGACTTGTTGGTTAATGATTCATTCCAGAAATTTTTCCTACAACCCTTGATTCGAATCGCATACATTTGAGAAATATCGGTGAGTAGCGTGAAAAAGTTCAATTTCATTTATGAATCCCTAAAGTACAGCGAAGATTGAATTCCATACAATCACACCAACAAAATCATAAATGTGGCAAAAAGAAAATGATTTTCATCATATTGTGCTTCAGCTGACGAATTAATTTGCAACACTTTCTGGGGATTCACAAAAAATTTAATTTCAAGATAGTGCCATTATTAATTTACCCCAATTAATCTATTCTTAGAAAATTTTAAAGGTAAGTGTCACTGGAAGGGACGCCGTTGCTTTCCAAAGTTTCCAAACATAGGAGCTTCTTGCTAATATCATTTCACCATTGTCTTTAATATTTTCCAGAACCTGTTCAAAGAAATTCAGACAATTGTCACATATTGGTTGTAACCTATCGTTGTAACGTAATGTCGTACTAAGGTATCTTTGAGATCTGAAGAAAAAGTGGGAGATAACATTTTCAATGTTTATAGGATACCCTATAATGATACTAAGGATAAAACGCTGCTCATATCGTCAATGTCAAATAAAAATTCTTAGGTATTCTTCAATAAACAATAGAATGTGTAATAAAATAATAAAATATTCAGATTGGCAATCAGCTATTCGTAGAAATAAATTCATTAATTTAATCGCAAAATAAATTACTTTTCATACTAACATATCAAAGTCGTGATTCAGAGTTGATCGACAGCCTCTTATTCTGTGGACTGTTACATAAGTCTGAAGGTGCGTTGAATTGACTGGTTGTCAGCTTTCTTAAATGAGGTTGAAAAAGGAAAACAAAATCATTCAGTTGCATATAGGTGATAAGAATATCATGTTATATGCAGTAAAATGAAATATGCTTCCCTTTCAAATCATTGCTAATTTGCGTTTTAAACGTGAAATTAAGCTTGAAGTCCTCGTTTTCTGTGTTAGCAAAATGATTTGATCGATTTTAAGTAGTACATACAATGAGCTGAGAGAGAAACATAAAAAGCTAATTAACAGGATTATCGTTTGGATTTCATGGACAGGAAAAAGATGATGGATGCAATGTTGGTTGTTATTGTTGTTGACGACGACGACGACTTTTAGAGAGAAAATCGAGTTCTGGTCGAGGTCTTAAAACGAAAGCAATCTCATTTTGTTGGGGTAGGGGATTGCGGAAATTTCCTTGCATCCCATTCCACCCACATTCAAAGTCATCATTAATAAGGAAAGCTAGATAGTTGATTTGAATACGGTAAGGAGAATTTAAACCGAGGGCATGGTATGGTTCTTTAGATTATGCTTATCTAATTAAGTCTTAACTAGATTTCCGGAGGCTGTTTTTAATAGATTTCATTTCTCCAGTCAGCATGTTATTAGCGTTGCTTCTCCCGTCTTATAAAGTTCAGTTTCACTGATGGCATTGATTTACTAATCGATCAAACGAAGCTCTTTTGACCAAACTTTCTTCTTTTAAAGTATTCATCCTCTCTTCAACAAACGCAACCGAAGGAGCCATAACTATAAAGTTATTCTTTTCTTTAGTCTTAACTTTCAATCCTTCCGCGTAACGCAAATCGTTTATATTCTCGATTGAGAAAGCAATCTAGCAATGCTTCGTCTTGCTAAAGCTCACAGCATTTAAACATACATACTACATATGTATGGTAGCTCAATGATATGCAGATTTAATCCTCGAGCTTCTTTCAAAAGCAAGCAAAGTTCTTCAAAACATTTGAACATAACTTATAGCATTATAATTGTCTCATCTCCTTGAATTTACTTCACAGAAAGCTGTGAGTAACATTTTCTCAGAAATATTTTTGTAGATCGTTTTAAACTTGTAGATTGCTCATCTTTAGAGATTACTAATTATGAACTAAGTTAATAACAGAGAGAAAGAGCTCCAGAAAAAACTCACCAACTTTTGATTACGGACTCTTATGTCACTATCAGTGGTTATAAATAGCATTCTCCCTAATATAAGTGAACTTCTTCCTTCAATACCAATTTTTCGAGTTATCAGTTGAGCGTCATTAATTTTTGATGGAATGAAAAACAGAGAATCTCATTTTAATATACACTGATATTCATTTAGATGGTGTTTTTTACCACTTGAAAAGTCTTGGTGCAGAAAATAATCCAATGCTATTTGACTTTAAGGATAATAAAAAAATAAATAGTCATGCTGAATATTTATTAATTGATTAATTACTCATTGAACTGAATGGTTCGAATTTAATAAATGAGACTCAGTAAAAGATGATTATTAATAATTGCCTTTTTCAACCAAATCAAAATTGTTCCTAATCAAATCGCTACTTCATTTCTCATGAATTAAAGTGGTTGTCTTTCTTTTCAGAAGTGATAAATAACATGGACAATATTTAATAAGTTTTATTTTCACATCGAAGAGGACAAATGAAAAATTGATTCCTTGTTACTGGTCAAATATAATATTGGTGCGATGAGAGTTACATATTCAAATATTTATCATCACCATCTCTTTGTCCTTTCATGAGACTTCTTGTGGCCAACGGTCATAAGCGGTTTGTTAATCTTGTTATAACCTTGAGTACTATACATGCAATGCTCACCATATCAAAAATCGTAATGCCACATCCTTCCAGTCATAGCTGAAGATCTGAAAGTCTGCTATAGACTCCTTCTTACCTCATCTTAATTACGCGACATAGCCTTCTTATGCAATCCTCGAAGGTACTGCAAGCATTAGGATTTATAACATTATTGTAGAAGTAGAACATAAATTCAGCATTTCCCTCTCCCTTCAAATGACTTAATGAACTTCTCTACTCTATTCCTACTTTTCTCTCCTTAAAATTGCAGTTTATTTGAACTTCTGCAAATAACTGGCACTTAGCAACATCGGGAATAGCTCAACCGCGCTTCCCTCCTCGCCTTTCACTTTTCCCTACACTTGTTTTTAGGTGACGAAAATAAAGGTAGCCAATAACCGGTTTTCATGGTCTACAAATAAGTCTAAGGCAAAAAGATTTGTCATCATTGTCTCTTTTAAATCGCAGAAATCCATTTTAAATACAAAAAGTTAATTTTAAGACAAGCTCCACTAAATCGTGATGGTGAAGCTGGAAGATTATAGAAAAGGAGGAACTTCACTCTATGACCTTTTCTTTTTTGACCGATATCATCCATTTGCTTTAATTTTAACTCTCAAATAATTTCCCTGTACAGATGCTGTCGTTTACTTAGTGATCTTACAATCTGGGCAGTACGTGTATATCATAGATAGCGCGCAATCAACTATTCTCAAGAAATCAGAAATCAGAAATCGCACATGAAAACTGGAAATCGGCATGTTAATAGGAATGAAGACAGCACTAAACTTACTCTCAGAAGTGTTGCTGTCATGAAATTCTTTGCATTTTCAAATTTAAAAGCACAGCAGAATGGAAGCATGTTCTTCTGCCTCCCACACTGCCTTCCACCTTTCCTTAACCTGCATTTTAGCAATTGGATGAGGGGGAAGGAATGTTTGTGCAATCATATAACAATATCAATCAAGGGAGATCAGGGAGAGAAAGACAAATAATGGTAATCAGGTTGTAAACAGTCCCTATCTGTCCTATCATTCGAAAAAGGGATTAAAGTCCTAGGGTCGATAAATTGTATTGTCTTTTGTCATCCATTTGACTACATATATTCACAAATAGCCATCGACTAACATCACCTTCACTTTAGTATGTGGGACATATTTTTACTACTGTCCTATCAATTACTGATTGTCCTTTTTCCTGCATTAAATTTGAAGATCACTGCAAAGAGAATAAGTACATGAGAAATAGTCTGTAAATTAGTGCTAAAACTAAATCTTTGGAAAAAGTGAAATTTCAGCGGAAACCGGATAAACGAGTTTCTCTTTCCTCTGCATTTCACTCCGTTGCACAACTTCCACTTTCCTTTTGTTGAGGGTAGATTGAAATTGCCCTGAAGGTATCTAAGCAGCGAAGCTCATGAGCTTCGCCAAAGATATTGCCACCATTTTGGTTAACTTTACCTTCCCCTCACCACTTTCTCTTTCAATCTGTTTTTGTCCCATCACTTTCAGCATCGTCATTCTCAGTTCTGTTATCTTTTTAGCAAGCGCCGATATCGGGTATGTGTTACACAATGCGCACCGTAACTCTCCCAGAAGTTTATTTTTTCCATGTGCTAGTTACTTTCGATCAGAATTAACTATTGTGCAAAGAATTGATACCATTTCCTCACAATTGTTTTTCGTCTTATCAGTGATGGTGAAGCTAATGCATAGCAAGCAATCGAAATTGCATTCATCCATCCACTTAATGGGTCACTATCTACCTTTTTCTTCTTTTTCAGCCAATTAAATTGTAAACAGTGAAGAAGCATAAGTGATGTTTGCATTTGGAACTTCATATGATGGAATTAGTAGATAATGATAATTCATAGGCAGAGAATATATTTCAGTACTATTACTGCTACTGCTAACATCACTAATCACTCTTTCCTTTGACAATTTCCACTGCATAAAACTTGTCGATATTTTGAATTGCTAGTTATTCAAGCCCTATTTTTGTACTATTTTAGCTTCAGTAACAATATTATGTTATTCTGTTGATTGCAATAATTTCTTTGAATCTGTGTATTTCTCATTAGCATTACCACTTACAATTAGTACCAGACTATTCTCAGTCAAAAGTTTTGCTTCCATAGGTATATATGTCTCAAGTGATACTATCTTCTAAAAACAACCACATGTGATTTGTTTTCAAGGGGCAATATTCACTGTCGAGTTATGCTAATTTTAGCTTTTAACTCCCAACTAAAGTTTTTGCGTTAAAATATCAACAATTTTAATATTAATCTTTCTTCTAACATTCTAGTAACTTCTCCACGAAATCAATTTCTGGATGACTAAAAAGGTAAGTTTCTAGAAGCATATTTATGTCTTTCATTCTGTATTTTTCATAACCATCCATTATTTTTCGTTTTCATCACTTTCCACCCATTTTTTTTGTTTTTCCAGCTCTATTTCTTAACGCCTTATTTCAAAATCCTTCAAAAGATTAGTTCCATTCATAATATTTGGGCAGTGTTTAGAACAAGTTACTGTGTTGTAGTGTTTTTATTCCTCCTAATATTTAAATGGAAGGAACAGACATATATATGTAAATGCAGCTGGTCTTATATTTTAAAATAAAACAATGAAGAGAACAAAAGAAAAACAATTAATATAATAAAAAGTCTTTATTTCGTCGATGTCCTAAAATCAGTCATAGAAAGAATAAGTACAGGTTCATGATAACAACGTCCTGATAATGCCATACATCCCAAAAGTGTTAATTGATAGCAGTGCTGTAATATGTAGTCAGTTAAATTCAGGCGGAGCAAAACTAAAATATTTCTAATTCGAGATTGTGATTTCGAAAGTAGATGGATGAGTTTTGGAATCAGTGAAGAGCTGATGAGAGCACATCCGCGAGATTATATTGTGACAATTAAATTAGCAGTGTATTGATCTTGCTATACTATCCAATAGTATTTGAAATACACGGAGGATATAATATAACAGAGCTTTTAATATTTGCATTAAAAAATTTTATCTATCTTTAGATGATGGCGATCCTTAGTGAAAGATTAACTTCTAGAATTTCAATTTCCAAATCACTTCTATCGTTAACAATTGTATTTTTAGGAAATATCATAGGACAGGTTGGACAAGCATGTATGTACATGATGATCAGTGGTAGCAAGCAGTTCTGCAATCAACTGTTTACTTTTGGAGAAGCTTTCAGGCGTCGGCATTGCTCTCCACTACTTTTTGTCCATATCAGCATCGATAACTGCTTTTCCTTCCCTGATATATTCATCAGCAACACTAACACCATCACTATCACCATCATCACTATTATCATCATCATTATTATTATCATCATCATTATCGTCATCATCATCGTTGAGCAGGCACTAGAGCGAGACACTCATCATCCGTACACATGCACAGACATGTACACACACATACCCGAACACACATAGACATGCATGTATATTCACTCATTCGTAATCAATATGCCCAAAACAAGGGTGGAGTTCTGAATTTCGGGGATTTATAGCAAAGCGGAGGAAGAGGGAATCAAGGGCGGAGGAAGAATTAAAATGCAACAAATTCCACACCAATATGTTGAGCTCTCTACACAGTTTAATTTATGGTCGCTAAGCTGCTTGCTACTGCTATTTCATTGCTGGTACTGGTGCAGGTGCGAATAGATTCGGTAGTTCCACATAGCAAGGATATTCCTGAAAATAAGGGATTATCATTATCATGTTGTTGTTGTTGGTGTTATTACTATTATAATACTGCCACCACTGCTCTTGCTGTACATACCTGTTTCAACAGGTATCACAAAATAATTCCTGTACCGTAATTGTCCTGTGAACTCTGTAGAAATGCTGTTATTAACAACCATTCATGGCTCAGTTGTCTCACATAAATCTTGTTATATTTTTGAAGTACGGATGTAAAGGAAGGTGAGCTGATAATAGCAAAAGCTTGTTTTTACGAATATTCCTTTTACTTTTCAGCATCTATTTAAGAATTGAATTGAACTGCACTGCTAATAAATGTGAGATTAGGACATGGCAAATGTATAAACAAGCGTATTATGGATTGCATTTAGAAACCATCAGCTCTTTTCAGAATTAATGAGCCAGAACTAACATGTATTAATTAATTCCTGTAAAATAGATAATTTTTGTCCGGTAATTAAGTCAATTAATTGACTAAATTTACCAGGTTTCAATGGTGCTGCTATCAGCTGTTCGAACGAACACTGAATTTCTGAATATTTTGATGATGATGATTGACACTTTTGGTTGCTGTACCAAATTTTCATGCTACAAATATATTTTTTAACGAATAACAGGAGCTATTCGGAGAGAAAAAGAACAGCACAATGCAAATAGCTATAATTCAGCAAAATTTCTTCTCATTTTTATTAGAAAAGTGTTTTTTTTTTAAAAAAAAAAAAAAAAAAAAAAAAAAAAAACGTGATCTGGATTTGTTACTTCTACAAGTCATCGTCATTGACTTTTCTTAAGAATTAGTTCGGACCAAAACTTGATTTTTATTTATTATGTTATTTTCTTTTCCTGTTTTTAATCAACCTTCATGATATATGAACTATCACTGATACTTTTTTCCTCTCACATCATTGCATTCTATTCCTTGCATATTGAATAGAAATTGTAGGGTAGGACTAACTGGTAGCTACTGCCTTATACATTATAGTAAACTAGGATAGTTTCTAAAATTGCTAATTACCAGTCATTCATTTTTTGTTTAAAATGATAGAAATTACTATATACAAGAATCTGCACATTCCTCACACTATTTCGGACAATAAAACAAGAAAAAAAAACAGAACTTAAAAAGTTAAGTTGCTAACAAACTCGCATAGATATCGACCTAGCAAATTCACCTCAAATTTCAAGTCTATTAAAAGAGACAAATGAGGAAATAATCAATGTTCGTGAAATTTTCTGTGGTGGGTTTATTATTTGTTTTGACAAGGTGGTAATCATAAAATTATGTATCTTATCAAGATACTACATAAATTACTAGAACAGGTGGACATACCGGATTATTATTATTCAGAAATGATGCACAAGTGGAAATAGTTTTTGTTCAGTTCTGGATACAGATGTATTGAACAAAAAAATGAATATTATAAATCTTAGTGTAAGCGAAGAGAAAGTTTTATGATCTTTTCAGTGACACCATACGCATACACATTGACATTCACTTCGATTGCACAACCAAACAAACAAGTGCAAAGATAAATCTTCGACCAAAAAAAAATCTTTTATCACAGCAAGACGGTATTATTATCAATGATATAATTATTTGTAATACTTTAGTTCTCACTACTGTTTTTCTGACCAAAATTGTCATGTTATAGCATTTTCTTATAACTCAAGAAAGCTGTCACAACCCAAGACTTATCGCAATTTTTACCATTAACAAAAATTTTCTGCAAGAAGACAATTTTGCAATGTTTGATTACATTAATTGCTCATCTGCTTGTTTTCAGCATAATATCCTTACTAACTGATTCTATCATTAGCATTAGTGTTATTATTATTAGTGTTATTGTCACTGTTTTTGAGAGCACTACTAATGTCACAGTTAGCAATCAATTATTATGTTGAAGTAAATAAACATAATTTCTTGAAAACTTCATCGTTTATTTTCAATATCTATTTTGTAAAATTAAATATCGTTGGAGTAATCGCTAAAAATTGTTCGTTGTTTTCACTAAGGATATTAGCATCATTATTACATTATCGTTATCGCTATCGTGCTATTATTATTACCACCAACAACATAATCTTTTGGTTGGCAGTAACGAAGAAAGTGTCGCATGCGTATGTGTGCGCACCTGCAAGAAGCGGCTTTCACCTTTATTTCCTTTTCGATTTCCACTTCTTCCTTTTCATCGTCTTCAAAAATTTGTTCCAATCCGCTAAAACCAGTTATGATTTGTCGCCCACTACTACTCCTACTTATCTGTACCTTTTTTGGTTGTTTGGTGATGGAGTGTAGCAAGGAGGGTCTTCTCTTCTACCTTCATTTTCACATCTCTCTCTTTCATTTTAGCTCTGTAGCTGCTCTTCAACCTTTTTTGAAATACTTTCTTCTTCATCCTTCCACAACAACAACAACAACAACAACAAAAGCAGCAATAGCAGCAGCAGCAGTGACAACCCTAAATGCTTCCACATCACCTTCACCAATGTCATCCCATAGCACGACAACAGGTGAAAGTTACATAAATGCTAACGTTTACTGTCAAAAATTCGATTTCTAATTAGTTCTTGTGATTTTTTAAAATATTTTCCTACTCTGCTGTGTATGGTGCAATTGATGAAGAGATCGTATGAAATTGAAGGGGATAGTGGTGGTGATATCGTAACACAGTGAAGAGTGTAGTTGATAGTATTTATATCGAAAATTCAGCAAGGCAGACCTGGCTTCGTTAAAGTCTTCATTAGTAACATTAGCGCATAACTTCTTTTCACAAGCTATGAAATGAAATGAACCGTTTAAATAAACATATCTCTCGAATTCATGCATAATTTTCAGATCTTTAAATGAAGTGCGAATCCAATGACACTCTTTACTAGATCAACAACTGGAATTATTAATGTCAAATGTTAGTAATGATCTACAGTAAACGGATACCATAAAATCTAGCAGTTGGCCAAAGTACGGTAGCAAAGGAGATGCAATGATGGCTCCCATTAAGCTCCTAACAGCCGCTCGTATCCTCAAAACTGCAAACAAATCCATATCAGTCGTATGAGGGCGTGGCCCTTATCCGACGGTATCTTTGAGGCCTGAAGCTGCTCAGGGCGGAGCCTTGAAAGACGGATGGCTGCACTGACTACAGATAGATATGCATCGCTCCCCAGTTCTATCTATCCTTGATTTAATCAGACAGTCAGTGGGCAGATGGCTCACTTGACAGAGAGGGAGGGAGTCAGTGATCACCGTCTCGGATAGGGTAGAGCTGCTGCTGCTACTGCTGCTGCTACTACTGCTGCTGCTGCTGCTATGGTGGTGACAGTGATGATGGCGGTGACGATAACGGTGATGGTGAGGTGATGATGTTTCCTTCCTCTCATCCATTTGCTTACCTGTGATAGGCGCTGATAACGTAATGATATGCCATCCATCCATCCACTCATTCATCCAATCATTGATTTATTTTGGCCATCCCTCACGATCATTCTTATCAGCACTAACAGCAGCACCTGCTTAACTCCCACTAGATCGGTTTCCTTTTTAATAATAACTACTTTCGTCCATACCGTTTCTCTTCTTAATTCTTGGTCAACAACAAACTACTCTAGATTATGTCTAACAGATGACCCGCTATTGCACAATGATAGTATTATTTTTAGTAAAAAAATAAAAAACCTGATCTAAAATTAGCAGAATTAGTCTGGTTTAATTCTTGAAAAAAAAAAAAACATGGTAATTCAAAACGTTTTTCTGAGTATCTGATTCTGGACAGCGTGATTTTACTTCGTTAAACCTTTTATTGCCGAATGATTTCAATTTCATTCAATTGAAATGAAAAAATTTACTTTTTCCAGCTTTCATTCCAATAACTGTTGATGTTTAATTAAATTTTATTTTGTTTTGAGGATACTAATTTAAAAAGAATTATATTAGGAAAGAATCTGATTGTTTTTTAGCCGTAAATCATCATCGGTTTTATAACTCACTAGGCTGATCGGACCACCTTTGTGTCATGCCATCGGGCTTCTTTAATTACTAGGCAATGATAAACACATTACCCAAGACACGGATAATTTTTTTTCCGTTTTTGTTAAGAATGAAGCACATACGAAAAATTTTCACTGTACACAGCAATCGCCTTTCTTTTTCTTATTGCCAATTATTATACTACTATAATTCGCTAAACTTTTAGTAATTGCTTAATGACAATTTTTATTAAAAATAAGAAATGATTAAGAAATGAGACTATGTTTAGGAATCAAAGACATTAAGTTTTTGTTTTATTTTTCGTCACTATTTTAAGCTATTTTAATTACTTGAACTTCTGTAATAATATTTTCATTGTTTTTGTTTCTCTGACTTTTGAAAAATTTTTTCGAGTTTTATTTTTATCTTTAAGTGATCTACAATTTGCTATCCTGAATTTTTACAATAATATTTTCATTGCTGGGAAGTTACCGCAGAACTTATTATTATTACGGGACGAATTAAAATACATCTTGTGAGCTATGGAATAACAAATCACTGTTCGATGCATTTCAGGACGACTAACCGAGAAGGCGGACTAAAACTATATTAACTGTTGTCAACACTAGTGATACCGCAGAACCCGTCAGTCTCTAGTCCTTATTTAACTTCTGTTTCCGATCGAAAATTTGAACTATTTCTACACTTTTCTTCTTTTCTCCCTTTAAATATATTGTCCCAAACAAGTAAGTCGCACGGTGTTTTCTCATTGATTAATACTCATATTGAATTTAAATTCCCATCCAGAAACCTCAATAAACCCTATAGGTAGAAGTTTTCTAAAATTGTCTTGGATAGGAGATGAAAATATGACTTCATTTCTACTTTTTCATTATATTCTTTTATTCAAGGACTGAAGTCATTGATTTTCTCTATGATCAATGATCCGAACTAATAGTTCCAAATATTGAGTTCAGTCTCTAATAGTTGTCTAACTTTTTCCCGAACCTTTACTTTGCTTAATTAATATTTGCATTTCTAGAAAGAGCTGGATTTCCCGTGGGCTACTCAAAAGGATTTAGAATCCCGCTTGATATGAGTATGTTCCCGGTGCGCGTTGTAGTGGAATCGGTTCGACCACAACAATGCCTCACTTGCGCACGTGATGGTCATATGCTTGTCGATTCTTATGCAATTGTTTCCGGTGCGACTTTGCTCAGTCAGCTGGTCGATACAGTGCTTAGTGCTTTAGGCATGCCACAATTGGCCGTCAATTCAAAAGGTTGATCTTTTGACTTTATTTATACTTTAATTCAGCTTTCGAAACGTTTTAGTCACTGATAAAGTTTTTAAATAGTTTCAAAAAGTGTATAGCAAAATCCTACTGATTGATGTTCAGAATCTCCAAACATTGTGACGATGTAACATCCTTTGTTTTAAATATATTTTATTCTTTGCTACTTCTTTAAGCAATCATTTAAATTAGGCTTATCTGTATTATCCTTACTACTGCTTAAATCCAAGCCAGAAACTACATCTCCTGGTAGTAACAGTAGCAGGCTGCGATTTGTGTTGGGCAATACTAATCCCCTAAAAGAAGCTAAAGGCTATTATATTCGTTTGTCGTCTCTCTTTCGAAAATAATTGAAGCGCAGATTAACTAGGATTTCGATTTCTCTCCCAAAATTAAGTGTCAATCAACGACTACATATATTTTCTTTTTCATTTAGCTTATAATAAATGGTAGTTTTGCATTTTCAGCTAATTTTTTGATATGAGCAAAAATTCCGCATAATGAAAAGACAGGGAAGCAGCAGGGGAGAAGGTAAAGGAAATTCGATGTTACTATTGCTCTTTTTGAGATTTACTGTTATTGACTAATTACTAATTCATTTGTTGATCCCTCTCTAAACAATATTTTTCTCATTTTTTTGCAAATTTTCATATCTCATCTTTACTTTAATTAATTAAGATAGCTACAAAATAACTGTAGTTCTTTTAGATATTTTGCAGTACAAAAATCAGATTTCAGCACATTTTTAACTTTTATAATTTTTTATAACTTTTAAAAAAGAACTGTTTACTTACTCATTAATTAATTTAAATTCATTGTCACCCTTTCATCTGGAGTGAATGTATAGCTAAACATCCAACCACAAATTTTGAGTTGAAGTATTATTTAGGCTATAACATGAGGAGACGTCAAAGTAGTCAGCCATTCACTGATCCAATCCTAATCGTTGTAATTATCTTGATCAGCACGATCGTTTACTGTTGCCATTATAACGGTACAGTCATTCTTCAATCTGTTACTCCGTCGGTCAATAAATTAGACGATGAATCCATTTTCTATTTTTCGATATCGAAAGTTAGTGAAAATTCTTGGAAACGCCCTTGAAAACTTCGCTGCTGTGGTTGCTGTAGAAAAAGATGAGATCTATGTATTATGTTTATCGATCTCATTGCTTAACGCTACAGAACAGGTATATTAGTTCCTACCGTCCCTCTGTGCATCATCCAATTTGGAATTTTTATAAAACTCCGTCGTGGCCGTCGTTATCTGGTCGACGTTGTCATTGTTTGGGCTAGACTCAGGTTTGCTTTTGAAGAGGGAAAGGAGGATGGAGAGAAGAAGGAGGAAGAAGGGAGAGAAGACGACAGCCATGCAGACTTATTCATTTTTCAAGGTGAGCCAGGCGATTTCCGCGATCTGAGATGATGATAAAGTCGAAGTGACAAGCACTACGCATACTACCCGACTTATCCTTGAATTTGCTTTTTGTAGAACGAAAGATGGGCAGGAGACTGGGAGAGAATGAGTGAAACTGAGAGAGAGGGAGAGAAAGATGTCGAGAGAGAGGATACAACGATTCGGTTGAAAATTCTTTCCCAAATTAACAAAGTCCTAATATCATATATGGCTAAGGAGTTAACACAAGCTTCATAACTTTTGATTGTGGAGAGGGGACGAGGGAGTGGAAAGGGGCTGAAAGCTATTAATAAAAATAATGGATGCGATCAATGTATTTCCTTGAAGCTTGATTTTTTGTAAATATTAAACTAAACTATAAAGAGTCACTTGGCAAAAGTGCTGAACGAAGAGCTTGTCACATGTATAGAAACTAATGATAATTGTGGAAATAACTTTCGTATATACAAAAGAACTGATAGAATTAAGGTTAGTTATAAAAAAATGATTTTATTCTCTCTCAGTAGATCATAGATCATCTATTATTTATCACTGATTCTCATAAAATGAGTCAAATTTGCTACAAATCATTTACAAAACCTTCTGCAAACTTCACACTACAGTTAATTCAGAAATCCGTGAAATGACTAGCTTCTACTCATTTTATATTCGTTGTTGGTATATGGTATTACCATCTCTCTAATTTCTATTTCAGTAATTTAATTCACGAGAACTTACATAAATTTATATGTGCTCCTTAACTATTTAATTTAATTTCATAATCTCATGACATTTTTAACTGCAAAGAATTTGCAGGAGTAAGTAAGAGATTGAAAAATGATTCAAAATATCTTTTTTCTTATACTGCGTTTATATCTTCAATCCTATCGGCGGCTTCACCTTGGTATCGACAGTGTTCTGCCATTTTTGTCAAGGTCGCTTGCTCTTTGTGGAATTGTAAAGAAAAAACGCTTTTGGAAATATGAGTTGGAAAAATTCTAAAAATTTCATTTTGCATTTCATCCTTTCTAAAAATCTCATGCAAGCTGGATATAACTAGATATCAGAAAACGGAACAGAAAACAAGAGGAATAACCTAATTTTACTCCTCATATTAAATTTCTTATTAACTTTTTAGGATTAATTTTAATAGTAATTACTGAACGGAGACTCTTGTATGACCTTCCTAGCATACCTTCCATTTTCAATCAGTTCTTTTGCATCTTAATATACCTGTCAATCACTGATCATATCCTTTCTTGCCACCCTATCTTCCTGCTCTTCCTTCTCCTTATTAAAAGTGGATTTATTGTTGCTAATTATTTTTGACATATTCACCAAGAATTGAATGTTTATCTCACTTCTTTCACTTTCTATCTTTATCTACGTTGTAAAAATGCTGTATAGATACTATTTTATTACACCATAGTCTATTCGATCAACCATTAAAAGGATGGATCAAACGTATATATCCTAATTACAATATAGTTTCACTACACTTTGTCTTTAAAAATCGCAAAGAATTTTGAACTTTTGCTATCATCTAAAATCCTAAAATGTTATGGTGACAGGAAAAGTTCAAAAAAAAACCTTGGATAAAGAACTGTAAAATATTTTAGAACCACTGAAAGAAAATCAAACAATTTTCCTAAATTCACAGCCGATAGCATTCCAGGATATTTTAAGGGAATCTTTTGTCACATATGCAAATACAGAAGTATTAACTTATTGTACAACTAATAATTTTCAACTTTCATTAGGATAAGTTATAGGTAATCTAGCATTACGTAATACTTATCATCATTTTTCTGTTGAATGAGATACGCCATTCAGATCAGGAGAGCGTTGTTGTCAATACACCTTGAATTTTTATTGCTTCACCTAACGATGACGAACATCGTTGCGATTTGAAAATAAGGAAAGTGGACCTGTTTTTGTGGTTTTTTGGAAAATTTTGGTGAAAGTAGAGAAAAAAGTGATATCAAGGACGATGCTGAGAAGAGTTCCGGTAAAAAGGTGTTGTTTTCTCTGAAGTGCTTATTCCAGAATGGCAAGAGGGAAGAGAGAGGGTAATTGATAGAGTGCTTATTCCTTAAAACAAGTTATTAATTGAAATGAGATGGAGACATGGAAGAGCAGAAAAACCGGGGCAGGGATACGGCAGCGAAATATATCTTAGTAGTAAAGGAAGCTCTTCAATGTGAACGAGAAAAAATACCGTCACACATCAAAACCACAAAGTGACTGCAAAATCATAGGTCTTAACAAAGTAACGTCGTATCTTTCTCCTTTCTATTTTTTTCTTTTATTATAAATGCAATGCTGAGATCCTTAAACAGAACAAAATAATTTTTTTTTTAATTTCCAACACGAAACGTATCATATTATTCACTTCGTCTTTTCCTGTCGTCCGGCAGAGCGCATTAACATTAATATTTAGTAGAGGAGAATGAAAATCCAGAAGAAACTGGTTTTTTTAATCTTCATAAGTCTTGCATAACTCAACCCGAACAACAACTGGTTAGCAACAGCCATGCATTGCTTTGTAAATTCGAAAATTGGAAATTGCTGTCTATTTCATTGCTCCTACTTTTTCTTTCAAGATAAAGAATACAGGTACATTCAAGGCTATTATTGGACTGATTAAAGCAGTGCTTTAATCCTAGTGATTCTTGAAGTTCCACTTATAAAGACTGAAATAAAATTTTGAAAATCTAGCTTCAAAGAAAAAATGAATTAGTTGAAGAAAACGAAGGAAAATAATTCAAATTTTTTTTTGCTGTGTCACGTTCACTCTGTTTTGAATGAATTCGAAATCCAAATTAAGCTTCAATTGCCTTACAGGCGGAAATTCCTTTGTTTTCTGTCTTCTCAAAAATTTGAATTCTGGATGGTGTCCTTTACTAAATAATAAGCTAAAAAGCATTGATTTATGTGATAATGTTTTAACAATTTAATAATTAATTAAAAACAAAAAAATACTAAGTATATGCAAGTTGTGTCAGGAATTTTTGCTCTGTTAAAGATTAGCACTTTATTCGTTTAAAAATGGAATTAGTGAATTGATAGCAGTAAGTGTAATGCTCAACTTTCTGCAAACAAATTTTTAAGCAAGGCAAGCTATAAGATAGAAAAGCATTATTAAATCTACTAACTGATAAGAAGGAGCTAGAGGATGGATCGGCTTCTAGTTATGTGTCGTTATAAGATGGATGGATGGATGATCATAGTGGTGGTAATAGTAATAATGACTGTATTAATTGCGATAAGCTGATAGAAATTGAATAATGACGTGATCTAATCATCAATCCTACAAAAACATACAAACTACTGTATCTAGTTCACCACCTTACAAGAAGACAAACATTCCATTTGGACGAGTTGATGAAGAGGATGCGAGCTGAACCGAAAAGTAAGCTTTGGATCAAACATGTTATTGTTTGCTATTAGACATACTATTTTGCTGACATAGTGTGAAATTATTTGATAAACACACTGAGATTTTTATCATTTATTGACTTGGTAAAGTGCTTTCAAGTGAGTGATATCGATTACGATTTTGTAATCAAAGATAAAACAAATAACATCCTTCATATTTCCTTGTTTCTGCATTTAGCAGTGTCTTCCAGATAGAGTACAGTTGACCAAGTTGTTCCTACAACTTAGTGCAATCAATGACGTCTAATTCTATAATTTTTAATTAGAAAGCAAAGATATCAATATTGCAGGCTTGGTACAGGTAGCAAATTGGAAAGCGTTGCCATTCGATCAGATTACGGATAATTTAGACGATACGGTGGAATCATTGCTCAAAGATATCAGCAACCATATTACTCTTAAAATTTTAACTAAACAGTTCGTCATTTTTATTTTGAATTCTTGAACAAAATTTTAAAAATACCCAATTTATGTATTACTGCAGCACATTTCTGCCCGAGCTCTATCGTTATTATTTTAATAGAACCAAAAATGAGGCAGGCACATTGAGAAAAGCTTAGCTCAATGAGACATGATTTTTTCTTGCTCTTTAAAGTTTGCCCTCCAGAAAAGTGAAGAGTAATTTGGACTTCGATGCTGTCTGACCAGATCTTCAATTGAACGGGAATAGCATAACACCAGTTAAATTTTAATTCATGGGAAGTTGATCATAGATCATAGAGAGGTTATTAATGATAGCATCTTAGCTACAAAGTCAGTAATTACTTTTAATTGAAGTTCCAGTTTGAGAAGTTTAAGCTAAAAAGCGCTGTTAATACTAGAAGGAAATGAAATGCCAGCTCTAAATTTATGGTTTTGATAGGAATTTCTGAATTGCTTAAAACATCTATTTGCGAAAGGACATAGGTGACATTTGTTTCCGTTTAAAGGGATGACAGAAAGGAGTTTTATTATGAGTGGCTCAACGACTGGCTTACGTTAGTTCAGTGAGCAGGAAGAAATATCCCAAGAGCAGAGCAGAGCAAAGCACCACGGAAAGGGAAGACAAGGAAAGGTATGTTAGAGAGGGAAAAGGAGAGATAAGCCGTGTCAGCTAATTTTCATGTGAGTCACCCACCCAGCATACCTCCATAAAGCTTTCTTCATCGCCGTGCACAAAAATCAGATCAAACGGTTCATTTTTACTGGTCGAAACTTAGAAGTTCTTTTAATAGCACTTTTATCCGATTAGGGACAAACAGATAAAAGTGATCTGTTCACTCCATAAGAGAGCAGAACGAGGACATCTATCTATCTATCTATCTATCTATCTATCTATCTATCTATCTATCTATCTATCTATCTATCTATCTATCTATCTATCTATCTATCTATCTATCTATCTATCTATCTATGTATCTATCTATCTATCTATCTATCTATCTATCTATCTATCTATCTATCTATGTATCTATCTATCTATCTATCTATCTATCTATCTATCTATCTATCTATCTATCTATATCTATCTATCTATCTATCTATCTATCTATCTATCTATCTATCTATCTATCTATCTATCTATCTATCTATCTAATCTATCTATCTATCTAATCTATCTATCTATCTATCTATCTAATCTATCTAATCTATCTAATCTATCTAATCTATCTAATCTATCTAATCTATCTAATCTATCTAATCTATCTAATCTATCTAATCTATCTAATCTATCTAATCTATCTAATCTATCTAATCTATCTAATCTATCTAATCTATCTAATCTATCTAATCTATCTAATCTATCTAATCTATCTAATCTATCTAATCTATCTAATCTATCTAATCTATCTAATCTATCTAATCTATCTAATCTATCTAATCTATCTAATCTATCTAATCTATCTAATCTATCTAATCTATCTAATCTATCTAATCTAATCTATCTAATCTATCTAATCTATCTAATCTATCTAATCTATCTAATCTATCTAATCTATCTAATCTATCTAATCTATCTAATCTATCTAATCTATCTAATCTATATCTAATCTATCTAATCTATCTAATCTATCTAATCTATCTAATCTATCTAATCTATCTAATCTATCTATCTATCTAATCTATCTATCTATCTATCTAATCTATCTAATCTATCTAATCTATCTAATCTATCTAATCTATCTAATCTATCTAATCTATCTAATCTATCTAATCTATCTAATCTATCTAATCTATCTAATCTAATCTATCTAATCTATCTAATCTATCTAATCTATCTAATCTATCTAATCTATCTAATCTATCTAATCTATCTAATCTATCTAATCTATCTAATCTATCTAATCTATCTAATCTATCTAATCTATCTAATCTATCTAATCTATCTAATCTATCTAATCTATCTAATCTATCTAATCTATCTAATCTATCTAATCTATCTAATCTATCTAATCTATCTAATCTATCTAATCTATCTAATCTATCTAATCTATCTAATCTATCTAATCTATCTAATCTATCTAATCTATCTAATCTATCTAATCTATCTAATCTATCTAATCTATCTATCTATCTATCTATCTATCTATCTAATCTATCTAATCTATCTAATCTATCTAATCTATCTAATCTATCTAATCTATCTAATCTATCTAATCTATCTATCTATCTATCTATCTATCTAATCTATCTAATCTATCTAATCTATCTAATCTATCTAATCTATCTATCTATCTATCTAATCTATCTAATCTATCTAATCTATCTATCTATCTATCTATCTAATCTATCTAATCTATCTAATCTATCTAATCTATCTAATCTATCTAATCTATCTAATCTATCTAATCTATCTAATCTATCTATCTATCTAATCTATCTAATCTATCTAATCTATCTATCTATCTAATCTATCTAATCTATCTAATCTATCTAATCTAATCTATCTATCTATCTAATCTATCTAATCTATCTATCTATCTAATCTATCTCTTCTTCCTGTCCTTTTTTGTCCTTTTTATTGTACACATAAACTATAGTATGCACATTCTTTATTCACACAGCAAATGCAAATATGATCGGAATAAAGACTCTCTTTGCTGAAGTCATCTCATCCCAGGAATGACAAAGCATTTATTCATTTATTTATTCATTGATTCGTTCATTCTTCTATCCACTAGCCCGCTATCACTGAAATCGCAGCGAAGAGAAATACATTGATGCCGTTTACTGCTTAAAGTATAGAGGAATTCCTTGAAAATTTGGGAATTCTTAACTATTCGGATTTTTTGAAAACTCCATAATTCATTAGTAATAATTCCAAATATGAAAAAAAAAAAAAAAAAAAAAAAAAACATCCTGGGAAAATTAGTCCTTAATTTTCTCATGCTTCTGATATTGCTTCTCAAAGTAGCACGTAATTTACAAGGTTGAAACCTTGAAAATCTCAAAAAATAATTACATCGATCGACATTTCAACTCATTTCTTACTGTAAAAAAATATATAGTGCTTTATTTTTGTTTCGAAACGGAATAAAAACAATTCAAAGTTTGTTATTAATAGAAGTGATAAAAGCATATTGTACTCAAGTAAATTGATTTGTTGATGGCTCATCTGAAACGCATTTACTTTACACATATCGTGAATCTTCCATCTAAGAAAAGAGATAAAATTTACGGAATTTTACAAATAATTGGTAATTGAAGCAAAAAGAAAGACGTGTTGCAGATCTTCAACAGATGCGTCGAGTTCACAGTGTATATCGGATCTCAGGCAACGTCTTCTCAAAGCAGCGATTTCGAAGCAGCCACACATCCTTTCTACCGTTGATAATCAACAAATTAAGGTTAATTCTCATAAACTTTTTTCACAATATTGATTTGGATATACAAAAGTATCATTATGTTGATTGATTTGCATATGAGAAGCTACTTACTTTTGGTAATGCAAATGTTCGAAGATTTTATTTGGAAATCATTGTTCTTATGAATGAAATTAGTGATGCGTGGTTTATTTTGCATGGGGTTAATCCTGATAGCTTTAATGCCTGCTTTCATAGTCTTTACTGTTTACCATCAGATAACTTTAATCCTTTCAGGATCTGATATTGCAAGTAGTAGCTGGCGATGAACCATCAATGCTCAACTTTGATCAAATCCAGGCAATTAATGAATGGTTGGAACAACTGGATGATAATCATGTCGATAGAAAAAGGTTACATTTTGTGTTGTAATTTCAAATGTGTTCTTTATTGTTTAGACTGTCACCCTGTTTGAGATCCTTAAAGCGTCTCGACCCACTGTCCAAATGGTATTTTTGTACAAGAAATTAGACCTCTTTGCCTCACAGAGTTTAATCCTTGATGAGAACAATATGTTTTTCTTATGTGACAGTCCACTTTGTAGTCGCATTTATCATTTTGTCGGTTTGCTGTGATTTTTACCTAGAAAGATTTTATCATTTCATATTAGAGTAATTTTGGAAAATTTTTGTGGGCATACTTATTGAGAAGTTGTAAGCACTTAGCAGAAGCACTTTTTTTATGCTTATTTTTGAATATTCTCCTATCGTCACTTGTACAGTAGTCCGGAAGAAGAACTGATTTCAATGATTTTTAATATCAAAAAGTTTATTTCTTGACGAAAATAATTCACAAAACTTCAACGCCTCTATAGAAGAGAAGTTTTTAAGATATGCCTATTTGTTCTTTGCAGAGTGGCGAAATCCTCATTCTTTATCTTATCTATTCCTGCTCATTCCTTGATAAGAAATGGCTTATTCTTATCAGTGCAAGAAAATATGCATCAATTATTTTAAAAAATAAATTCGTAGCTGTTAATTTTTCTTCAACTTTCCAGGATATCATTAGATATTATTTGTGACAATTTTCAATTCTTTTAATTATCTGTAGCGGTTATTATTTATTTCAAGTGATTATGCATCATAATCTCATCAAATGTCAGCATCCTGTCAAATTTTTGCAGCTGCTTCCGGTCCTAACATTTTCGCTAAGATTCACTCTGAACTAGATAGATTTAGCTCCAACGGGAAATCACACACAGAAATGAATATATAAGTAAACAAACAAATATATATATTTAAATTAACCAGTGATCATAACAAATCTCAATGCAGCTGGTTAACCGTTCATATATGATAATTTTTGAATAATTTAACGAGAATGATTCATGTCTTTTCTAAAGCTAATAAGGGTGCACTATGTATTAGAAAAGTAATGGGAAAATAGGGATCAAACAGCAGTTAAAATATGGATTTATATAAAAGAATTCTGAAAAGCCCATTCTCTGGTACTTTTCTATTAATCACAATATTTTCTTTTCATTCTGCTAATTCTCATCATTTTTTATTTTTTCTTCTAGTTTTGTAAATGTATTGGGTTAGGAGCATTCATTCGTAGTTTTTTAAGTCTATAATGCATTCTTGTCATAAAAGTTGACAAGAAAGATGGAGAAGAATGGGAGAGAGAAGAGAGAGTGGAAATTTGCGAGGATTTGATTCTAGTTTACTCTTCTAGTTTAAAGAACCTTTATTTGTACAGTATGCATTTAAGATTTAAACTTGGTCATATTTATCTTAAGGTTGCTTGCTTACTGGCCGACTAGCTTTGTAAGAGCTGAAGCTTAGCTAGTGAGAGAGCAGGAGATTAAGGCAGAGATAGATTTGTTATGTACTTAGTTGATTAGAGGAGGGTAGGAATCTTCGTGCAACTATTCATCGGATTAGAACAATGCGAAATGATGAATCTAAAGTGAAGAAATCTTCCTTCCGGTATTGTTTAGTATAAAATTTGTGTCATATGATATGCAGGTGTATATCAAGAATTCCATCTTCCTTTTCATATAGAGAGAAGATGAGTAAATGCTTTTTTATTCACTGATTTGGATGCATGTGGAATTGTTGGTGAATTAGTAGCTCTGCAAGCTTTTTACAAACTTCCATTCTCATACATTATTCCCTTCCATCTTCACAGTCATTCCTCATCATCCATAGAGAGAATGCACAAATTTATGCATCACATCCACCGTCATCGCAAGCCCACCAGTCATCTCTCAGCAGCATTTCCTTCCTCCTCGTTCCCGATCAAATACGGAAATAATCGAATTGCTTGAACAAATTTGAAAGGCTAGGGAATGACAGTATTTCTGTTGTTAACTATATAAGCATAAGCAATCACTTAGTTTTTCCTATCATCTCTTCATATTTCATCTTTGGAATATGATTTCATTGCAATTTGAAGAATGATTGTGAAAAGAGTAGTATCCTACAAAATGATTGCTTTTTGGTCCTTTTTGGTTCATTTACTTTAAAAAAGACGACCGTATACTGACTGCCTTCATGATACTACAGACTGATTTTGGTAATAAATGTCATAAATTTGCTTCTTGAAGCTTATAATTGATAATATGGAAGTAATTAATAGTCAGAAGTTTATGTGTGAAGGTGACAAACTTGAAACTTAAAGCAATATAAAAATAATATTAGCGAAATTAAGGAGGAAGGAAAAATAGATTAGTGGATGAAGAACCAATTCCCTTATGAAATTGTTCGACTTATTTCTTCCTTCGATTGCTTTTTCACCTTTTGCTTTATTTATTGAAATTTTCAGTCCAGTTTACATAATTGGGACTCTGTCTGACGAGCATTAAATCTCACTTTATGAAAATAAAAAATGGTCAATTACAAAAAAAAAAAAATCAAACATACACATTACTTTATCAATGTATTTGAGGCCATTCGAGATCTGAATTTCTAAAGATGTAAATAAGCACATGAGAGAAATATGTTTGAGATGCAGCTCAAGTTTTAGTGAAAATTAATTTGTTGCACACTACAGTTTAGAAATTGAAAAGCTACGGAGAAAGGGGTGAAATATATAAATTAGGTGCATGTATTCATTAGTGATACTTGAATTCTTTTCTGAGTCACTCGAAAACTAAATCCACTGATTCGCGAACGGATGGATAATTTCCTGCTTCTGGCTGCTTTTCACAGTGATAGTCATCGTGTCCCTTCAAGCTGCGATTGTCATCTTTCCATACCTGCTCCTCTCATTTGCTTTAGGCCAAGTTGCACAATATTTATAATCAGTTGAGGAGCGAGCGCGTTGATCACAACTTATCAATTTGCTCTGTGTATCTACTGCTGTTGCTTCGTCCTTTCACTGTACCCAGTATCGTTAACATTGCAGTAAAGGGTTAGGAGTGGGCTTCGAGCAGCGATCAACAGTGGGAAACACCGAAGTGAGCAGCAGAGGCGTATCAGCCTTTGCGATTTGCGATTGTATCGTAAAGAGAGCGATCCAACCCGACGAGACAAACAGCAACTATCTTTGGGTTTGGCGCTGCGGCAGTAATAACTTTCTTTCAGCACTAAATTTCACCATAAAAAGAAAACAAACAAAATTTCAGAGGATCATTGAAATCAAAAGGGAGGAGAGAAAGTAAAGGCACCTTATAAGGAGAAAGGGGTAAAGATGAAGTGAAAAAAGAGTTCAAAGGTACAGTCATGTAAACAATTCCTCGATGGAAATCGATTCCCATAACTTTGCAAGAAGTCCAGGATAAAAGAAAAATTCAGCGAAGCTTAATTAAGATTTGTTTCCTAATTAATCATAGTGACCTGTATCAAATCAGCGAACTTTAACGATGAAAATATACGATCAACAAACAAACATATATATAATAAATCGGTATCTAATTAGTTGACAAATAATAAATAAAACGATAAGGCGAACATAAAATAATCTTCTAAGAAAAGCCGACAAAATCAGTCATAATTTCATCCATTTCATGTGCTATTAATTGTTCACGCATTTCTGTATCAAGAGATCAAATTTAACATATCAAGTGATGCACTGGAACTGACTGTATATGAGAAATTGTTAATCTCCGAAGGGTACTATTATATTGGGAAGAGGAAGAGGAGTTTGGACAAAGTTGGGGATGAATTTATGGTCATCACCATAAATGGCTTTCTACCAAAATAAGATTATCCATTGTCGTGTGGCTATCGGTGTTTATATTGGCAGTATTCACTTTCCACATACCTTTCGTTTCTCTACATTCCACTTTGCATATTTCATGTTATATGAGGGTTAGAGAAATGAGGGACCGCTTAAACTACGAATCCAATCGCCCTCATCAAAAATAATTTTAAATTTGATACAGGAAATGATAGGATTGCCAAGAATGAATTTATGAGAGCTATAGGACTGATAAGTGGAATATAAGAAACTAGACACATAAGTATAAATATTCGCAACTGATCATCTAATCATCTAATGATAGTATGCCGATATCTTTACCTTCACACATTTCTTATTCAAATAATTACTTAAAGAGTATTTTTTCTTCAATAGAATTATTTGAATTTATTCTGCAATATAGATTCTTGAATTATCAGATATGGAGTTGCTTTAACTGCTTAGAGGAGTAACCAAATAATTGACATCGTTGCAGTCCATATATCACAAGGTTCAATCATTTGTTGGAAACGCCAAAGTTGGAACGATGGTTTCGTACCGACCCCAATCCATCCCGACAGAAACTGATTAATTATATGAACGTACTCAATGGTTCCAGTTATCGGCGGCATAATGTTAAAGTAACGTATCAGCAAATCTGTAATTGGTTTGCAAATCAACGTGCTGCTAATAGGTTCTGTATTCTTGAAGGAATTTGTGAAATATTAAATTATATTTTAGCGTTAAATTGAAGTAATTAGTTTTGACGGCTAGAATATGCCGGACACGAAATTATGCTATCATCGGAAAATGCATGCATAGTATTATTTTGAAATATCCAGCAAGTTTGGTTCTCGTTACATTTGATCGTTAGAACTAACTGTTTATGCTACTACCCTACTACCTCATCTTTTTTTCAATGACATGTCCTAGATTGGTATCTGGTGGCGGGTAGAAAAATATTTGCTGTCCCTGCAAAAATTATTTTATAGAATTTCATTATTTGGCTTCTTATTGACATATTTAGAAAATTAACAGAAGTTATCAGCTGCTCCCCATTCATTAATATTTAAATTGGAAAAAAATGACAAGGAACTGAAAGTTATTATGAGCTGATAAAAAAAAACTATCGTTTTCTATCTCACAAATTTAAGTTTCAAGTTTTTCCATGGAATTAGTTTTCTTCAATAGCCTACTTTTAATATGGTAATATCTTCCAATATAGTACTTGAAAAGCAACACTATTGATGAGGAATCATCCTTAAACTTACAGCTAGTAATGGTGCAACGGTTCAGAAGTTACTGAGGCATTATTTGAGAAAAACGTTCGATTTTGAAAGTTTGACTTTGGAAATCTTTTGAACCTATTAGTGGTATCACTGTTCGGAAAAGATCGGAATAATTCTGAAGTAACTTAACGTGGTGCAAGGACCTGATTCTATCATCACATCACAATAATTTAGATTATTTTATGAAGTGAGAGAATCTAATTTAGCATATACTTATTCACATCGCAGTAATGCTAAAAAAAAATGCCATAAAACTGAATGCAAAAAAATTTAGAATTTTTTTTTTGAACAAGTTTTGCTAGAACAGTTGTGCAATTTAATTTTGATACTAATGCTTTACTAAATTATGTCATTATAATTTTTTGTAGGAAATCACCTCAATCGAATCATACTATTGTTACACATTGTCCATTATCAGTGGGGCAGTCATCCATTTTACTTCCACCCCAGTCACATTCTAGTCCATCTGGTGAATTCCGTCCAAAATTTGATTTTAATAGTTTGTTGGACAGCAAACAAGCCAATGGAAACAGCAGTGAAGTAAGTATTTTGTTGAAATTTTGTTATTTGTATGCTTGTTGATACAAACTGATCAAATTGATTTATGAATTGTATTCGTAGAATTGTGAAAGGCAATAGAATCTGATGAATGAAGATATATGAAGCAGCTTTGTATAACTCTTATTTATGCTATGTGAGCAATTGATATGCATTTCTATATCACTTTTAAGTTACGTATACAATTCCAACATTTTGAAGCAAGAAAAAATTGGGAATGAAATAAGCGATCTGAAGTACGATGGAATATAGAATTTTTGTTTTTGTGCTGCCATATGTATAGTTAGTTGCTCTTGGTATTTCGAAGCAAATAAAACTTTTCAGCGTATCGAAGGAGGCTCAGAATCGCCGACACCGAATGATGATGTCAGTGTACATAGCGCCAGCGACTGTGGTTTTGATCAGGTTTCTGCGTTGAAACAGGTATTCTTGTTCAGAATCATAGAAAATATTTCAATCTTTTATTAACCTGTTGTGAACTTTTAGTCTTTTTTAAGCATTATATACCATTGGATATTTTGTATTAGAGAACAATATTTCTGTATTTCTTAATTTTTTGAAGGATTCTGCAACTTCATCTCCGGAAATATCTTTCGATTTAAATGGTGGTCATGCGTCAATATCGCCGAAACCAGCCGGTGGAGACACTGTTGGACATCAACAAATAACAAGCAATGGCAGTGGAAATGGTAATGGTATATCAGGACAACCACAGCAAATACAGACACCCTCGAATACAGTCGCTAGATCAAGATTAATGTTCGATCCACTCACGGAGTTGCCAGTCCTAGAGAAATGGTTTGAAGAAAATCCACATCCTACTTGGCTACAGGTAAATCTTTACGTTAGATTTGTTATTAGTATTTGTGGAAACTCTAGATATACGTTAGAGTTTAAAAACATCGGCATAGACCGCAGGTCATATTCTCGAACACATTTGTTTTTCTCTAATTCTCAGCAAAATTAGGTTACTTTAGTGTGTGATATGTTAATTATATTGTTTAGAAAAAGGGTAGCTTTTTCCACTCACTTTTGCATATTTTTAAGTTACGAAATCAAAGGCAATAGAAACGTATTGCATTCTTTCTTCAAAAGAGATGACTAACTGAAAATAAATATATAAATATTTAGCAGTTTCAACTTAAACAGTAATCTTAGAAATATAAGAATCTCGACATTTTCTGTTGTTGAGATGACTTCTGTAATTCAGTATAATTTTACCAGTAAATATTATTCTTAGCATAAACTTTTTACAACTTTAGATTGACCATTATACAGAAGCGCTGAACAGCTGTCAATATAGACAAAGTTATCCACCAATTTCAACGCACAATGTTAAAATCTGGTTCAAAAATCGACGGGCCAAATGTAAACGTATGCAGACTGGTGATTTGAATTTGAAGATGATGATTTGAGACATTTCCGCTCCATCAACTTGAAAAGAGACCGAACCATTCTAGAACTTTGCTCAGCGAATAAGATAAATGCTCTAGTATATTGCTATGTATAATAGATAGAAATGAACGTCAACAAAGCAAACAGGCCAAGTTGTTTTCATGCTTTATGATTTTCTTATGCCAATGCACTTTAAATAGCATTGTGATTTTTGCTGTTTTCGAAATATTTCCATGAAAATTTTGATAGATTGATCTTTAACTCTTATAGAAATCGCACAACTCTTTCTATAAGCCTTTTTTTACTTGTTGCTTCTGAATCAAGCATGTCTCAGTTTCTTTATTCTTGATATTTCAGCTATTTTTTTTCAAAATGTTTTATACTAGTATGTTGATACAAATCAACAAAACATAATAAAGATAGCCATATGATGAGATGGAAGGATTCGGTTTTGCATCAACAATGAAATAAGGTAAACATGAATTTTAACGTAATATGCGGACTTAAAATATGATGGAATCCTTAAAATCCTTGTGGACATTATGTAAGGTATGATCACGACTGCTGTAAGGTCTTAAGTAAGAGTATTTCTATTGAAGATGTAATTTTACAAAATTTAATGAATAGTACAAGTAAAAAAAAGAAGACCAAAGGTACCACTATTATTTCGGAAAAATGTTGCTAATACTTAGATGATATCAGCAATGGTGAAACTTCAATGTAGTGAAAAAATTATTATTTTCATATGTTTTTCTTGTCTATTTTTATTATTTTCTAATTCCTCAGTCACTCTAGTTATTAACTTGTATTTTTTCTGATCTCATTTCTGTTTTAAGAGAAGTTTTTACACCTTGTCCGCGTTCTTCAGCTCCTTTACTTTGCGCCCCACCTTGCCAACTTGAAAAATTTTGATCACTTTTTGAAGTTTCAATCACCAAAGTTTATGAAAATAATCACAGTATAACTGATCTGAATGTCATTTGTAAAACAGTTTGACATGTTATTTTTAATTTTTACAATATTCATATGGTTCTGACCCATTTTTCCTTTTTCGCTATTTTCCGGATTTAAGATTGCAATAAATTACAAATACAATGTGGCAAATTCATTTCATGATTTTTTTCAATGCTCTTTTTTGCGTTTTATTAAGTGTTTAATTTTTAAAAATGCAGGAAAAAACGGAATCTTACTGAAAAACATTTTTTTTAACGATTCCATAATTTTTCCAGGAGAAGGTTATATTATGCTCAGTCTTGTATGCAGAAATGATGTGATATTATATTGATTGGATTATCTTTGTAATTGACGATATATATTATGATAAGGTATGTCAAATGTTGGTATTAATTCCTTTTCATCATTTGGGGCTTTTTCCCAGTTTATATGTGATTTTAGGTTTCCACAAAACAGTTTTGTTTAGAAAAATCTGTTTATTTTGGAAGTTTAAGTCGGAAAAAATTTGATCATGGACAAAAGAGAAATGCTAAAAATTAGAAAGCAAATAATCATTTTAACCAAAGTTTGTGTTTGTAGAAACCTTTTGTACTGCTATTGTTGTGCCTAAAATCCTCATTCCATTTCTAATTTTCCTCCATTAATGTGTTGTTTTATGATACAGTAATTCTGCTACAAATACTTTATTATTTTTTATTTCCGCTGTCAAAGACTTAAATTAAAAAATTAAAGTTCTTACAAATGCGATAAGCTTTTTAATCATGCTGCTGCAAATACCTTGTTTAGAATGCAGCTTTAAATTTAAAAATCGTAGTCTTTTACACAAAAATCATATTTCATTGACATTGTCAAATTATCACTCGATTTACTATTTCTAGGGAATTTTTAACAAGAAGAAATAGATTTTTGATCATTAAGTGCCTTGTAGTTAGTCAAATGTAGATTTTTGTACACTTCCTGACATGGTCTGAAATACAAAAATACAGTCACAGAAGTTAGTGGTCCTGTTCAAATCCTTTTTGACCACAATTTAATCTTAATCCTAATTAGCCTTATCCAGGTTGTATGCAAACTAATAGTTGGGTCACCAACTTGCTTATTTTTAATTATCATTATGTCCTATTATATGAACTTCCACATCCATTCGTAACATTTGCTGTAGTGCTTTAGAGAAATGACTTAGATATGCTTTTCTTTCCAACTTTTCTTATTGTTCGTTGTTCTAATTTGTCTAAGTGTCTGTTTTTCATATATTTGTTGAACGTACTAAAGAATAAAAAGTTCCATGTCACACAATGCAACATAATCCCTTGAGAGATAAAACTTCATTTATTCCGTTAACTTTTTTCAAACAATTTTCATTTAAAATTTGAAAATGTTTGGCTACTCGCTGTTTTATTTTAGTAGACTGCAATTACTTCATAGCTGTATCGATTCAGAAGTTCTACAGAAAGCAAACATCCTGACTGTATATACAACGTATAATGCACAAAAATAAATTACAGCTAGATAGATAAAATGCAATACAAACTAGTCAGTAGTTAAATAATGTTGTATGATCCATTTTCAGACTGTTTATCTTTCAAGGAAAGAAAAAGGCTTCTATTATTTGCTTTACCTTTCGGAGCTTCTGTTTTCCATTTTTATATATCAATTTTAAATGATCGTTAAGAAAAATGTGAGGATTTTATAGTATTCCTGGTTTAGGGAAAGGCGGCATTCTCACTTTTCAACCTAATATATTGCTGATAAATGAAGTCTATTCGATAATTCAGTTAATGCTGATTCTTTTATCCCTTCAATTTTTATTGGACAATTCTGTTTTAAAGAACTTCAAGTTCGATTCGGCAAGAAATTATTAGCAGGTACTTTCTCGAAAGATGACACAGACTGCTCATTTTTCTGTCCAGATTTTCGACTTTTCTAAACCCAGACTTGCGTGTAATATAGACCGAGAATCATGTTTGGCAAAAATGTTAGCAATATACAAACTAAAAATATTGCCAAAGAGAAATAATTCTGGAATGATACCGAGAAACCTTCATCTGATAGACACAAAGGTATCTGCAAACACAATGCATAATGAAAAATGATAGTAATTCCAGTAGATCGATAAGCAAGACAAGTCTATGTAGTTCTGTTTTTTGACTGTTTTTCGATCTGAAAGGAGTTTTCCGATCTCTAAGTTTTCATATGTGACATCAGAATAAGACCTGACATCAGAATTCCGAATCCTGGACGTCAAAATTTAACACACAGAGATTATAAAGAATGTTGTACCACATAGTAGCAGGAACGGAATTTTGCTATGGAAGTGGAAAAATTATTGTTCGACTTATCCACACTGTTGCAGATAAATCGTTGCCATTGTTGGGAATAGATTGAACTTGACCCTCTACTCACGCATGTTATACTGTACATGGTGACCAGGGAGTCATAAACATTGCGGATCTTTCACATGCTGCTATTATTGAAATCTATATTAAAATATAGCAATTATTAAGTTATATTAAAATATAACTTAATAATTGCTAATTTACTGTCGATACTTAATTAATATATTTGCTTTGTTAATTTGTCGCATAAATTTTATTCGATTCTCAACTACAGTACACTTTGTAAACATCGTTATTAATTCTTCAAGGAATTATTCTGTTTTAACTACTGCATTATTATATGATACGAAATGGTTGGAAATAACTCACTACTGAAAACACTCAGTTTTTTATAATTTTGATCTTTTAAACAGTACGACTATTTAGACCTTACGTTTGCTATCAAATCGCCATAATATAGTGCTAAATGGAATATTAAAAAAAGGAAACAGGAATTTGACCGGTTGATATCATTCATTTTTTTCGAATTGGCATAAATGTTTGTTGATTATTTGTTTGTCTTTTTGATCAATTAATGGTGGTAGTCTAAATGAAACTTTATTAGAAAATGCAAATTTCTACCTAGAACTTTTCTTCGCATCTACCAAACTTCCAAACAATATCAAAAAATGTAATCTTTTAACCGTTCTCTCAATGACATTATAAAGTTTCTCTCCTCATTCCCTAGAATTTAAATTTCAATTTCTTATAATGTTCATCTTTTAGGATATTAAGTCCTAAAGTAGAGCAAAATTTGGATTCCCAATTTCTATTACCATAATATGCATAAACGATAAATTTTTACGTGCATTCTTAAACTCATAAAAAACAAAAATTTTCTTAACATTATAAATAATTAGATGAATCTGAACTAACTCATTTTTATCATTTAAAGAGCTGAAGGAATATTGCAATCATGCCGTTTTTCCAGAAGTATGTACATGAGTTATCAAATAAACTACACAATGAATATTGAATTTGTCAGGTAAGAAAAGCCATGGGTGTTCTGAGACTTCTTGAAAGACAAATAAAGTACTGATGCAACTTCCCTAACTGGTTTTAATTTAATTGATATACACTGGTTTTAATTTAATTGATATACACTGGTTTTGAAGAGACATTTTCTATTCTGATCATAGTTTTGGAGTACTCTTTCATACCTTAGTGAGAGTAAAGAGTAATATGGACACATAGCATGTTAAACGTCAAAGAAGCATAGCGAGCAAGCAAATTGCAATCAGATCGTTAACACTGTCATCAACCGTCTTCACGATAAAAGGAATAATGGTATTTATGTCATACTTTCGAGCAAAAGATTCTGCACAACATATAAATCCTACAGGGGATAATTTAACAATTAAATAAAATTATCGATAAAGCTAGTAATCTTTTTTGTATCCCTATCTATCACTTTCCTGCAGAGGAAAAACAAAATCAAAGAAATCGGCAAAGGATCAGCGAATCCAAAAAACTGCTGCCACCAGAAAAGTAATTTTTCTGTTACAAATTTAGTGGCAGCTTTTGATAATGAATAACACATTTCAGTAGTAGGGAATTTATTTACAGATTTATTTCAGTTAACCTTCTTTTTTTGAAATCCACTTTTTTTTAGCTTTGCAAATCGACCAAGCAATAGCCGTGTAGTCAAAAGGCTTCAGGAAAACATATGGAAGTAGCGGGAAATGATCACTAAACAGATCAGGAAAAGCAAGAACAAGCGGTGTAAGAACTAATTGAGTATTTGAAGTCCACTGCACCATTCAACAAATGTTTGCAAGTAAATATTCCATGGAATCTAACCATTTGGATAGATAATAAAGAGAAAGATTTTAAACGTTGTGATTTTGCAGATTATATAATGAATCTAGAAATTCCATGAATTTAGAAAAATTAGTTCTGCGACCCATGTCCAAGTAATTAAGACAATCAACCAAGGTACACATGTTGTGGTATTTTCTATTTGCGATGTTGTCACAAAAGTATACAATGTTATTACAACGAAGCTAGCAATGTTTTAGTGAGTTATTTTAGAAAGACTTATTTTAGAAACGATGTTTAAAGAGTACAGCTTAATATCTGATATGAGAGTAAGTGGTGATTCTTGTTTTCTGCATTTGATATGCAGAAAAATATCAGTATAAGGAAAAAATGTATTTCAGAACAGAAGGCGGACCGAAACATTTTGATAATAATAAAATTAGTCCATGGGTACTATCAACCTTTTTTTCACATTAAAAAGAGGGAACACATAATTAAGAACGTTTTTTTTTTTCAAAACTACATAAACCATTTTAAATCTGCAGAAATAGGAAGGACGGCCAGGAAAAAATACACCGTTTAGTATTAATTAGAAGCTTATGTAACCACTATAACTTCCCAAACTCGAAACTGCAAGAATGTAAAGGAATCCAAAACTTTCCCTTAAAAATAGTGAATGAAATAAATTTATTCCGAAACTGCATCAATCGTCTGACTGCTAGACAAAGCTATGTTTGCGGACAAACGCGGCGAAGGTATGAAATTCGTAGTGCTGGAAAAAGCAGTGGTGGCAGTCAAAAATTACATTCATGAGGTAATTAGATAGTGAAATTATTATAGACTGACCCATTTATTTATTTATTTAGCGTGCTTTTTTTCTGTTTCAACATTTGACTTATTTGTTCACTATCTGTAGTGGAAAAATAATTTCAAAAAAATAAAATTGATAATTGCACAGGTAGAAGGAGCGCATAGGAAATATCGTCCGGCAAATATATCATTGCAAATGCTCAAAGGAATTTATGATCTTCATGCATAAGGTGCTCAGAAAATGCTACAAAATTTTTCTATTACAATTCTTTAGAGCTGTATAATACAACATCAAAAGCGAGCGCAGATATGAGTGTAAAAGAAGCGATGGTAGAAATGTTTTCTGCCGCTGTGAACATGGAAAAAGTATAACAGACGTATCACCGATACTACCGTACCAAAGCTTCTATCTTTATTATCAACTGAAAAAGACACCAATAAGATCAATCGTCATCACATTTCCAACATACTTCACTTCAGTTTGGAAAACAGTGAAGAGGGGTTTAGAACAATCAAAGTAGTTTCAAATTTTCGGGTCAATTTTTAAATAGACCGAAAAAACTTAAACATGTTCAGGACTTCTGCATCGCGACTTGAAGCCCGATAATATGGGTTTGTGTTCAAGAGAACAACCGATTACATAGCTCTTCGATCTCGGTATGGCTCAGATGTACACCAATGGGGAAAGCGATGTAACTTTGCGTTTTCATCAATACAATATAATTCTTTCTTCTAACAGTGATTAAAAATAAATGCGATGGACTATTTTGAAGCATTCTGAAGAAATATATATAATGAAAAGTTTAATCAAGAAATGTTGGCCTCATGATTAATGGCCTGAAATAGTCGAATGAAACTAGATCAACAGTAGCTATTCCTGCATCATATTTGCTCAAAGTTAACTTTCATGAATGTTAACTACCAACCAAAATATTATTGTATATTCTCATAAGTAGACTGAATTTAAGCTCAATTCTTGAATCAGTCCCTTAAACGTTACTCATAAATAACAAAAGATTTTCTGCAGATACGACCACCACGGATGTGTTGTCCGTTTCGTGGAACACCCAAATGGGCAAGTGGGCATGCACAAAAAGGACGCCAACAGACACATTTTGATGATCTTATATTCTGGCTTTATGTCACGTGTGAGCTGTTTGCAAAGGAACGTGAACCCATTCAACCATTGCCCCCGACGTAACAGAAATAATACAAGGTGAGAATATTTCTGCTTCAGCAATCCTAAAATTGCTCACACCAAATCCAAAAAAAAAAAAAAAGAAATCTTGACTGAATACAAGGGACACGATTATAAGCATCTAAGACAAACTTACATTTATAAAAACGTTCATCAATTTAAATGCAAATTTTGATGGACGAAATAAGCTCAAAGATAGTGTTTTTTCCTTCCTTTTGGTTCAAGTTTTTGTTTCTGCATGAAGTTGTAATAATGTATATTTATTTAATGTCCTTTTAGACGCATAAATATCTGAAATCAATGTACTGTCCTGTGCGTTATCTCCTGAAAACATTACGACACGAATTCAATGCAAATAACACATACCTTCAAACAGGTTATTTGCACACACAAGTTTGATAAGATTAAACTGAATTAAATGATAAATGATTTTAGTTATCAGAAAAAAAAACAGCAAAATCTAAAACAGTATTCCACTCTTTTATTTATAACTTATCTCTACTGCAACAGTAAAAGTTAATTTTAACAAATCCCCAAAAGCCACCAAATTATCACTTCTTCGATGAAAAAACTTATGAAGCAATCAAGGATTTAGAAGTCAAAAAATTGCTACCGTCGCCAGTATCGATGATAACTTTACGGTTATTAGTGTGAAACCGATATTCATGCTGTAGCAGAAGTTGGCGCAGAGTGTTAGAATTCTGAAACTAGATCAGTACATTCATAAACATTATACGGGAGGACTGACTCTGCTAATATGCCTCACTGTACTTTTTACATGTTGCCAGGGTCTTAAATCCCATTATACAACCTTAAGTCTTACTTAGACACTACAAAAAATTAAGTTCCCATACTCCTACAATTCTAACCTTATTGGTTGCATTTATATATAATATACTACTGAAGATTATAATAGTTATAGAATGCTTTTTTAAACTGCTAAGAAGGTTAAAAATCCGGTCCCTAAAGGATCAAAAGGAAAGTCAAAAAGCAGAAGTAGGAAGAAATAAGATGTTGAAAAGAATATGCTGAAGAATTTGAAGCAGTAATCCCAAAGAGATAATAGTAAATAAAGAAATGTACCTCATGCTCTACTGTAATATGCAAAAATGTGGTGACGAAGTAATAATAGAAATAGATACTAGCTCTCTTATCGACTGACCAATGAGTTATCAGCAAAGGGTCACTGCATATCACGGATTCCGATACAAGTGTGGCAATCCAAATACTTGTGGCTAATGACCACCCCATCTCCCTGACCCTTTTACCATTGCCTCAACTTGCCTTATTTCTGAAACTTACCTCCCGTAGGTGTTGCACAGCGCGTTGCAGAAGTAAAATTCGTACTAATACGGTGGAAGTGAGAGGTTCCCAGGATTTGAGACTGTCTGAGTCGGATGGGTCTGGCGTTAGCGGCGTTGTTGTCATGATTGCAGTTGTTTCAAGATTTTTAAGACATTTCCAGCTTATTTCATGTGGTTGAATCTGTTCATGTATTAATAGAACTCTTCCCATCTTGTAAACAGATTATATGGTTTAAAATGAGGTTGTGGTCTCAGTATATCTGAGTTTGAGAATGTACCAGGTATCAGTATTATAGGGGATTTAGATGGATAATGGAGAGAGGACAGAGAAGAGAAAACAGATTGATGTAACTGGATGAAGATTACAGCTATGCTTATAGTTATGCCAAATTCCATAACATTTGCTCCATGTCATCTCATTAAAAAGCAGTTTTATACTGAGTTTTTATGTTATTAATCAATTCCTACTTCTGCTTCAGATGAAAAATTGCTTGAGGTATTTGATAAACGATCACCTTTATGTGGAAGCTACTTTAGAGAATGACAAATATCAAGGTAGGCTGGTTTTTGCCATTATGACCAGAAGCTTTATTTGGATTCTTTTAATAGCTCATATTCACTCGTACTATATACTTTGTCATTTCACAATTAAATTTGATTCACAATGACCATTTAAAATGACAAATGTGTAGGAAAATATTGCTTTATTTTAAAGAGTAAATTTGACGATTGATTTTAGAAACTTTTAAAACGTTAATAGTAAGGCTCTGTGTGGAGGGTGAACATGCTGTTATTGGAAAAATAAAATTCTTATGGCCTGAACAATGCCTTCCTAATGAAGTAAGTTAAATGATGTTATGTGTTGCTACTATTTATCATACAATGTTGGCTCATCTTATATTGTTTCAGGATTTTTGTTTTTTCTTATATTTTTTTGACACTGTGTCACAGATCACTTGTTGGTTGTTATAATGCCCTTACAATTTTGAAGATTACAGTGCTAGAGGTAGTTGCTCCATAGAAACCTTAGGCGAAACATGCTTATTTTCGTAGTCTGAACTAGGAGTCGCTCAATTTAATATAATTGTTGTGTGCTACAAAGATAAAAATGATTTCAGTTTTCACTCCTATGATTTTGAAAGCTGAAAGCCTCTTTCTAATCTTCTATATCTTATTCTATTTCAGATAAAAATACGATCTGTTTTATATTCCTTAGTTACCATTTGTATTTCTAGAGAATGAGAATCATTAGCAATTTAGTTACATGTGTGTTGAGAAAGAGAGTAAAGATTATTTTCTTTCAAAGATTAATGTATGCTTTTTCTTAGATCACAATCGATGAAAAGCAGACTATTGTTTTGAGAGGGATCGGTAATATTGCCAGGATACCTATGAGGCAAGTTTTTTCATATTTCCATCCTTAAGAAATAGCTTCGTATCTCAAATATTCGTTATCTCATTTAGGCTCCTTTCTCACGCAGCAATCCACAGATTTTGAGCAGTGTAGACTTAATAAAAATGTACTGAGCAAGAAGAGTGGCAGAATACTGTTCTTTTCTGTTTAATAGGTTTATGAATTTTTTAAACTTACCGAATTATAGTTCCGAATATTTTAAAGTTCGTTTTTAGAATGCAACCGATTAAGCGTTCATTATACATTGGTACTTCAGAAGATTCCGTTCCATCCATATCCGTTCATACTTCACTGTCTTCTGCACACATAACAGAGCCCTTTGATTCTCTTGCTGCAAAGATTTCCAATTGCTTAGCACAAAAGGTTAGTTTCCTTTAAGTTTTTGAAATATTTCTCAAGAAATAGAGTAGTAAAAACTCCTCAGTTTTCTTGGAATTTAAATTGTTATAAAATGGTTCTAGTTGTCTGATGTTATTAATAAAACACTTATAAGTAGTCTGCAGGATTTGAGTAATATTTGGAATGAACTATCAAAATTAGCCAAGAAGACAAATGTTGATTTGTCTGATCAGTTACCTGTGGCACTTTCTGCTCAAATGCAAATGGCGTTGCTAAAGATTTTACGCAAATGTGTTAGTGAAAAACTGTTTGACCGAATACTCACATTTATCATTCACTCAAGGCTGATCACCGAATCCAAGTTGGTTTAATCATTAACTTCTAAGACATATGTAAATCCAATGATATTTATATCAGTGAGAAAGATTGGATGTGGAAAAAGGAGTAGCTTCTTTTCAAGCAGCTCACTCATTCGGCTTAGTGAATTTCCATATTTTCTTAAATTAAGGGTGCGGTCAGGTTTGTCAGGTTTCTGCTTACATTAAAGGCAATATCGACGTCCGGATATGTATGAAACATGTGCATCATAAGCTAAAAGGAATTTACGTCTCATAATTCGTTCGTCGAGATCGTTTTTGACCATGCGATTCATGGAAGAACTTTAAATTGTTTGTTTTTAGAGCATGCTGTAAATTCATTGAATTATTAGCTAGTAAAAGTCTTATTCAACAAGCAGTTGATCTTTTGCGCTTTTCGCTAATGGTGGATAATCGAACTTATATGATGTTTCTTAAAATGTGTTCTAATGAGTACGTTTAACTTTTCATTGCGCTATTTTGATATGATATTAAAAATAGTAAGTATTAGAAATGAGATATTAAAAATAATAAGATATTAAAAATGCATTTATTCTATTGTTACTTTTGGTTTGAAATAGAGTTTTTGGAGTTGGTTGATATATTATTTGTGCATTGATCATCATGGATTATGTAAAAATTAACTGCTAGAGGGTAATTTGTTTCAGGCCTGTTTCGAAAAGTTCCAACCTACTTTCAGCTTTACTGGAAAAACCAGTTAATAGTTGGGGGTTACGATTAACTGTTTCACAGGAATTGACAGAGATTGAAGTTACGACACTTATTGAACGATTGATATTACTGGGCTTTGACAGAAAAAGAGATGATTTATTTGATAACGTATTGATTTTCTTTTACCAGTTCCTTGATTTATAAGTAATTTTAATGTCTCATTAAATCTCACAAATCCTTTAATTTAAAACTCTATGTTGTACACCAAAGATTATTTGAGAAAGTTCTGAAACTTGATACTTTCATTTATTTCAGTTAAAAGTTCTTCAAATACTGTTCATAAACTGTTGCATATATTCTGATATGTCGATGCTTTTTAAGATATTAAAACTTGTGGCAGTCCTTGCTGATAGCCATTCACAGCGTTTTGTTTGGGATGAAAAATGTCACGGTGCAATACGAGATGCAGCCTATTTTGCAGCAACTATGGTATTCCTAGTTTCTTAATGTCATTAATAGGAAATCTTATGGATGTATTTTTATAGATCTTGGCTTGCATATTTGATGAGCATTAGTTTTTATGAATGCGTTTGAAAAGTGCTGTGCGAACTTAATTTAAATTCTCCTTAAATGAAATGTTAAGCAAATTTTTTGAATTCTTGTCCTCCAAGCTTTGCATTTTTTTAATCAGATGATGAGAGGAAATTTTATCTCCATATTAGGCTGTTTCATTAGCTCTTTGGCTGTGTTATTATGAGAAATACATAGATTTTTGGTTGCACTCCACGTTACTTATTGCTAATGTTTCATGTACAACTGGTCGATATGTTCCGTCACCTGGAACAACAGTTGGAGCAAAGGAAAAAGACAGCTGGTGATACGCCTGAAATCAATAGTGATTATATTATCAGGAAGATTAGTTTTGCTCAAAAACCCATTTAATTCACTTTTTGTTTTACTTCGAAGTTTTGCCTGGAAACTGAATGTCAAAGGCAACTTGTCCACTTTGTACGGCTATGCATTTGTCATGTTATTTCAATAAATACTCTATAATTACTTCTCGAGAGACCTCAGGCTAAAATATCTCCTGATACATTTCATCGAAAGGATTGTAGTCTTAAACAAATATTTAAGTAATGGTATGAAGCAATATAACATTCAGATTGTTCTACGGTTGTTGTTACTAGAAGTGTTGATTGTTTTGACTTGTGTGACTTCTATGTTTTTCCATATAGTGAACGATCATAAGCTTTACACTTAAACATATTTATTAAATTATTTTCGTAAATAATATTTCAGACTTTCGCCTTACATGATGCGCTTCTATTGTATAAAATCAAACTGATCATACTAATATCACATTTTTGCGGATTTTATCATGCCTTTTTTCGGATGATTTTCGAAGCATTACATCTTAATTTTGATATGTTCTGCATAGTTAGCAATTGGTCGTCGTTATTTTTTTAGAGACAGATTGCGGGCTTTTTCAGAGACATTTTTAAAGACGGGAAGGGTATTTTCTTCAGGGAGAAACTAATATTTCGGATTGTGCTATTTGAAAGTAAGGGTGTTGAGGTTGGTTACTTTTGGTGCTAGCTTCTCCCTGTGTAGTGGATGGAGCAAAACTATATAAACGATCTTCGAGTTTTTAGTTCGAGAATGTTTTTTCATGCTATATATAAGAGCTTTAAACGGCAAAATCAATGAAAAAAATTATGGACCTGGAAGCATCTATGATGGATTTCATTTTTGACACCTAAAAACTAAAGGGAATTTCAGGGTGTCGACCATTTCTTCTTGTTTTCTAGAAAATTAATTTTGAAAGACTTCTTTCTTTTTTCAATATCTTATGCTGTGGAAATCAAGCGATTCAACTCCAGCTGAATTAGTGGTTGATGACAGTGCCAAAGATGATAGACAAATTATGTCTAACAGGTGGATGAGGGAAGGCAATATTTATTTAATTTCTATTTCTAAAACAACTGATTACCTAAGTGACACTATCGTTACATCTGTGTTAAGTTGATTTAGAAAGCTAGAAAATCATATTTTTTTTGTGATGAAATAAGCTGTAGGAAGTTTCATTTATTTAGATTTTTAGCTATGTACTCATTTACTTATCCTTAGGTCTAGATTCTTCTACAATGTATATTCTAAAATTTTCAGGCAGAAATGAAGCACCGGTAGCAAAAGCCAAAGATTTGACTATTATTTTATTAGCAAGCGTAGTGTTCTTAGATGGAAGTGAATCGTCGGATGATGAAGGAATAATTCGATGACTCTGAATTACTCACGACGACATTCCCGTTTATCCTGTAAATGTTGCCTTATTTTCATTCCCAGCTATTTTTTAGAATCTCATTTGAACTATTTAGTGCTTCTTAAAATGACCGCACTCCTAACTCTACGTCTTGGTTTTAATACTGGATGCAACAATTATTGCATTATTTCTGAGGGTAAGTAAAAAATGTATTATTGGATTCAGTACTCTGTTTGTTCTTTGGATTCATTCCTCTAAAGTGTGCCTTTAGTAACTAATCGTAACTAATCCTATAGCTTGACATAGCTAACTACTGGAGACACTTTTTACATTGTGGTCGGAATTTCCTATTCTATCACTTATTGCGCACAGGTATATATTTCCTAGGAACTTTTTCCACTGCATATCAACTCGCAATTTAGATTTTTGAAGGAAACTGATAAGTTTGTAGGTATTTCGCATCTCTGGTTGATGGAAATGTATACAAAAAAGCAGTTTAATGAAATTTACACATCGTATTAAAAATAAATTCGAAGAATGATTCAGTGCAACTTTCTCTATATAGGTACTCATTGCTATTAATTTGAGTGACCCCGCTATCCAACATTTTTCAAGCCTTATGATCGATATTTTTATGAAATTTGTAAGAAATCATAACTGGTTGTTTTCTACTTTTTCACTCTCTTATTCGGTTTTCCTGAAGTTTTTTAAACGCAGCTTAAAATTATTGCATTAAGAAGAATTGAGATCGCATGAAAACATTTTTGGTTTACACAACTCTTATATTTATATTTCACATATAGAAAAAGCATATTTGGATCCATTGATGAAGATTGCAGTATAGGCTGGATAACGCATCGTATTACGACTTGAATATATTAATATCGCAATCCCTTCAAGTAATCATGATGATTTATCTACACTGATATTAAAAAATTATTTTCATAAATACAGGTCACAAGCTCTGTGGAATTCAAATGTGGTTCTCGATCATTTTCATTGTCTACATTGAAATTTTGGGCAGTAATGATTTTCGCTTTTTCAAGGGAAGATATGGAAGAAATTTCACAACGAAGAAATGAAAAAGTGACAGTTGTAGAAGCGTGGAGGATTCTCGAGATTTTACTTTCAGAGACGACTATGATGACAGGATTTAATATATATATATATTCCATTGATGCTTTATGTAAGTCGATTTTTTACTAATGCTTTCTCAAACCTGACAATTCTGAATATATGATGTTCATGCAGACGTGTTGACACAAACACCTGTTATCCATTCTCCGTTTCTCATGGTTGTAAACGGTTTTAATGTTATATTGTTAGAAGACAAACTAGAGGATGAAAAGTTAACTTGTCATTGTCAAATTTCATAGTAGCTTAAAGTTGTTCAGGACGACATATGTAATAATGACACAAAAGAGTATGGTTATGACAGATATTGGATGCCATGTCTTACATTTTCTGTCCCAGAATAGAGCAGGCTACAACAAGCTTTTCATTGAGTTTACTGTAACTGTTTAATTTGGGTGTATTGAACCGTTTTGAAAATTCAGTAAATAAATCATAATTGAAAGATACTAAAGATAGTAATCAGTTCACGAAACCAGTAAAGGATTGAGCTTAATTCATCGTCTTAAAATTTTTATTAGTATTGTTTTTGCTGAAGTTAATCTTCATATCTTTTCTGCTGCTGTTCGTATTTTTGTGGAACAACAAAAAAATGCTAATCTGGGAGGATTTTTGAAGTTATTACAGTTTGTACTTTTATCCTACTTTTGAATTTCGTCCATGTATATCAAGGCGACATTTATATATTTATAATCAAAGTCGATACAAGGATCTTTTTCTCCTTACAAACTGTAATAAATTCCTTAGAGATGTAGTGCCAATAGCAAATAATTGGAAAACGAAGAATGTAGCTTCAATTAAGTTAACGATGGATGATGTTAGCATACGTTTTAAAAAGCTATTAATCTCCTTGTCTTATATTGATTATATGAAAATTAATTCGCTTGATTCCTTGATAAACCAGTCATTGTTGACCTTTACAGTTCACAAATTTTGTCAGTTATTACTGCATTTCTTAATTCTGAGACAAGTGATAGCTACAGTTTTGAGAAACCACTTCATTTAGTAACTACTAATTCTATGTGATCCTTGATCTTCAGTGCTAACTTGTTCGATTACGTCTTGAATAGAAGTTTGAGAAATGGTAAGGACAATAATAATGTTATTTATATTTTCAGTTTGGTCGGTGCTGTTCTTATCTGTCTTACTTTTTCTTAATTGTTCGGAAAAGTTTGCAAACTTCTCTATATGTGGATGAAAGCAAATGAAATCTTCATTTCAGTTTTTAAATTAATTCCAGAAATGATTTCGATAAAATCGAAATGTGTCGTGTTTCTAGTTTTCTGTTCTCTTTTTTTTTGGTATAAAAAAAAATTGTTCATTATGTTCCTTTTTGTTGGTATTGTTAAATTTAACATTTTCATGTTTCTTAGTGAAATTTTTCTAGTATCTCATTTACAAATTTTCTATGTAATAATCATCATCGAAAGGGAAGATGTATACGTAAAGCTCCGTTAATACTGATAGGAAATTGAATGAAGCTAGATCCAGCGGATATATCAAAGGTGAGGATCTATTTTCTTCTTTATATACTAAGTTTTAAATAGTGTTTTTTTAGGGAGTGTCATTTCTTAACTTCTTTAGTGCTTATTATTTCATATTTTTGTATTATTCGTTTTCGGTCTTTCATAGTTATTATCAAGTTTTCAATCTTTGTTTATAGCGATTTTTCTAAAAATTACCTTTGTGGAGAACAGAAATATTCATCTCAACATTTCGTTCACCACTTCGACTTACCATCCATTTCACATCTAGCATCAGCGTAATCTACGAATAAAGTACTAGTGCTTCAAAAGAATCATATTGGAAATGGTTTCATCCTTCTGGAAATAATGATTTTAACCTAATTTTAACCTATTGACCAGGCACTGATTTTATTTAACGAAATTCTATGCAAAGCACAAAACATTTCCAAAAAGATGAATAGAAAGGCACGCAGATTTTTTGGTTAGTTATAATACCAGAAAAGTTGTACAAGTGAAAGATAATAAAAGTAGTAATCGAAGGTGAGGAAGTTTGTCGAATGTGAAAGTGTAAAGAAATGATTCACAAGAACTAAGTAAGAGTGATGTTTTTTTTTTTTTTAACATTTTTGAAAAATAGCCCAGTCTCACTGTACAGCGAAAGTTTGCTTTTATAATTCTGTTCATTTTTTAAATTTCTTACTATTTAGTTACTATTTTAAAGATGGCAGGGACAGTTCATCCCCGCTACTACTGGTAGAAAGTTCAAGTTCGAACAATAGACTCTTCATTTTGAATGTTGGACATTTTACATCAGCTGCCTATTTTGATTTCACTGGACGAATCTGTGCATTGTTATTGTTTTTTTTTTTTTTTTTTTTTTTTTTAAATAGTTTATATACTTACAAATATTATCTATTTATCATTTCAGGGTTTGCTATGTCTTGAAATATGAAGTATCGTTTTCTTTGATTAATTTTGACTAAAACTAACAGAAATTAATGCTGGCTTAATGCTTTGTTCCTCGATCACTGACTATTCTGTAGTTTCTAACAATTATGTTAGCCAATTTTGATCATGTTTATTTAAGACGGAGGTAATATTTTGTACTGGACGATATGATTTTAAAAAGGATTTTTAGGATTTCACAAAATATTTTATCCTAAGGCAGTTGAAGCTGTGTTTCTAATTAATCTCATTAAATAACAGGAAATTGAGAAACAATTATTGACCATGCGCAGACCCAAGTATTTTTCACACATTTTCTGTCTTATTGTGCCATGTCAGAGTGCGAACATCATACATCCAAATTGAAACCATGGGCATGGTCAATAATTATTTCTTGATCCCATGTTATTTAATCGGATTAATTAGAAATACAGCTGAACTTTGGCATCTGTGTTTTCGTAATTTTTGTATTCTTTCACACTTTCTCTATCGTTTGTTACATGGTCAGTAAACAAATATTAGTTTTTGCAGTCTTAACTTTACATTAAAATTATTTTGATATTGAAGAGGATTGAATATTGTGGCACAATTGTTGTAATCGTAAGATGCTTATACTTTCATTTGCTTTATGTTTATTGATTGAAGTCCTTTGAGTGTGGAATTGTTGTGCTGGTTAAATTTGTTTCCTTTGTTCATTATGGATATTTTATTTCATAATATTATACTTCTTTCTTAGTTTTTGTTCATATTTTATTCGCTGTATTTTTGTTCATTTTTACAAATATATAAAATGGTAGGTGCATGTCATCCTGAATGATGTAGACTTAATATTTTGGAAAGTCTTATAAAATGAATGGAATAATTATTAAAAAATTCTCAGTACTGTTTTCTTTTAGTTTAAAATTGTGTTCACGTGTCACATACGACTCAAATTTTTTCGGAGAAAAACTTATATTGAGGTTCCATTTTCCCAGTGAATTGTGTGAAATTGGAAAAATCAGAGTATTTCGTTTTTCAATTCGTGCAGTATTTGTTGCTCAGTTAATGATTTAAAATTAATGATATCTCAAGGTTCATTTTAGGAAGGGCGTGAGATGTCCTGGGGTGATGTATTCTTTTTCTCAAAATAGTGCTCTTCATCTTTGTATCATATTTCCAGAAATAAAAATTATTTCGATTTTGAAAAGGATTTGGGTGACAGCTCGTTGTGCGAAATGATTTCTTTGCTTGTCTGGTACTGAGTAATACTGAAGAATCATCACGTTAGAAGATTATTAACTGTATAATTTTTGGCCTTGTAGTTGTGGAAAGATTAAAAATAATTAGGGAGGAAGCGGTGGTTTTAGAAAGTGAGAAATTATTGCGAGCTATTGAAGATCAATTTGCGGTTCTGTTTCAAGTCCGAGCCTCAGTATTCAAGAAATCCGATTTCTTCTGCTAATTCATTTAAAAATTTTAAACTTTTAACAGATTATTCAGCGTATCACCTGTTGGTTGTGGATGTTATGTGGTAATCGAAATGTTGGAAGCATCAGTTCCAACAGTAGAGGATCACTGTCGAGTGCTTATTTACGTTAAACAATTTGATCCTCAATCACCAGCTTTGTTTAATTGTCTTCTAGAACGATTACAAAGAGTGCATTGCTTGCAAGGTTCTGTTTTACGTTCCCTGATTGAGGATAAGTCCTAGTTTGGCTTGCTTTGATCATGAACACTAAATCTTTAGCTTTAGTTTATTATGGCCAGTAACATTAACTGTGGCAACGATCTATCAGTTATTGCTACTTAACGAAGAATATGATTTGGGATGCTAATTTATTTCACTGCATTCGTGCCTTTTCTAGCGTTGACTTCTCTGTATGCAGTTTATAGTGACATCCGAAACTCCTTTTAGTTTTTTTTTTTTTTTTTTTTTTCAAATTCTTTTTCTAAAAACAGTTTTAGGAATTTAAATAAACTTCAGCATTATGTTTTATGTTGGCCTAGTTCAAGAACACATTCTCATAAGATTCAGTTCCTAGCATTACCTCATTTTTTCCTTAATAACCGTTCCTCCGTTCATCCAAATGAGATTTGTTAAGCAAAAATCAGAGTTTTCTCTCAGCTTTTCTTTATTATCTTGTATGATTCCTTTTTTTATCGCCAATCGCCTTTACAGTGTCAGATAACCCGAAAAGAATTTTCAATGCTGATTTTAGTGCAACAATCAACACAGATCTGCTCAGATTTGGCGAACTTCAGGTTAGCAGTTTCCTTGATAGTATTAAATGTTCACAAATTATTTTATTTAAAAATTATTAGTTCGAATATTATTTGCTGTTTCTGTTTCTTATGACTACAGTTTGCTTCTTAAAATTTTTCATCATAACTACTTGCTTATTAAAATAGAATATGATTAATAGTAGTTTGTTCTTAAAAAAGAGAAGTACAACATTTGCTACAAGCAGCATCATGCTTGGTTGGTGACAGAAGTCATTCAAGGCTCATCGTCGTATTATTGGGTTCATTGGCGTTGTTCAAGCACCAACTGAAAATGAGAAAGAAGTAACTTCACAGCAAATTTCCGATGTAGATACTGTAGAAGATCGTAGGGTTAACGTTTCGAATCCGAGAGCACATTTTTTTGCGGAAATCAAGGAGCAGTATGATTTTATAAAGGTTTCACTTTTGAAAGGCACAGTTGTTTTGCAAAAGATTCGGGAAGTCAAAATTCAAAAAGATGATTTCAAGTTCATTTTAAAAATAAATATTCGATAGTTAAGGAATATGAAACGATTTTTTGTATTAATGCTTTAAAAAGGATATTTTTAGTCGACGTAAAACTTCTCAAAGGAAACCACAAAATATAAAACATTATTTTATAATGTTAATGTCAGTTATAGGTTGAGTACGCATCAACTGTTGTGGATTCACGATGTGTCGTTATCGGATATCCAGAAGTATATAGTTATATTTTTGCTTCTGTAGAAATTTTCTTCTGTAATAGAGAAAGGAACAAAAATATCACTTCTCAGTACTTTTCGTAAAAATAATGAAGGTTTCGATACAGAATTAGCTCGGTTTTTTTGAAATTTCTTTTTTGGTCTAACGAAATATAATTCCTGAATAGTAAGCGTGGTGAAAGCATAAATTAGTATTACATGATCTGGTTGGTATGTTCCATTATCTGAACGAAGCTATTATTCACAGGAATCTATAAAAGCGTTGTGTTCGTCACGAGAACTGTTTTATTTTAAAAGTCTCGATGATGCGGATTCACTGGAAATAGGTATTCGGGATTTTTTGCGCTCTATTTATTACGTTCTGGAAAGTCGTCGGCTTGATCTTTCCTTTGAGAAGTTGGAGTTTCCGCCATGTCTTGCTCTGATTGATGAACAAAAATACCGTCAAGGTTTGGAAAATAAAACTAGCAAAATATACAGGTTAGTTAGTAATATACAGGTCGTTTTATATTTGTAGCGTTCTCTGCAATTATTCATATCACATAATGTTTGTGAATGTTTGATGAGTGGTATAAATTTATCTTTTACCATTCACTTCCTTTTCTGCTTTTCTTTTTGATTTGTGGATTTCATTCCATGAGCATGTATAAAATTTTCATTTTTCTTAATATATTTTGCTACTAGTCTTCCAAAGTTTTGAATCTACAATAAAGCATATTAAGCCTTTAAACTCTCAGTTATTGAAGAATGCAATAATTTGGTCATCCATTTCTGGTTGTCGAAGTACGAATAAATCTCATGAAGCCAAGCTTTAGTATTTGTGGTTCCCAAAAAAGTTCATTTCTTTAAAAAAAAAAAAAAAAAAACAAACTACATTTAGAAAAAAATGCATTGGTCGTCTTCGAAAACAAGTTGCTGATTACACGCTCATGACTGGTTTGCCCACTTTAGCAATGGATTCCTATCAGTCAGCTATCGAATTCCTCAAACAGTCCAACGATTTACTCTGGCTTGCTGGTATGTCTTTTTAAAATGTGCGATGAGTATTTTTAGGCTTCTAACTATTATAGGGTGCGGTTAATCGTAGCAGTTGGATATGTGAATCTTTAAGATCAGGATCAGTCGATAAAAAACATAAAGAAGTAAAATTGATCAGGAAAATCGATTAAAAATTGCTTAACAAGAGGAAAAAATATAGTTCATTTGGTCCTGAAGATCTTGACTGACTCTAATTTTCATCAGGCACATACTTATCTTTATTGAGTGTATTTTTGCATTTTTTTAGCTGCTTACGAAGGCTGGGCTTGTGCGGCGATAATTGCAAAGTATGATTTAGCAGATGAATGTCCTTCTATTAGTGGAATGCAACGAATCTCATCTATGACTTCCGAACAGATTCTTTCGGCGCGTAAAACAAGTCAGTCTGGTACCGGGTAACTTTTTCTAAGAAATTCTCCACTTATTGGTTTCAAAATTAAAGCCTATTAAGTACTGGAGTTAATCATTACTCTGTACGAGGGAGAGTAATGATCAATTGTTTTTGCACGACTTTAAAAAGTGTTAAATTAAATGGGTCTCAGCAAAATAAATTATAATATATTACTCTTTAATTATAATATATTAGTATTTTATCATTGTAGTGTTTCGGCTAGGTATCAGGGTCTGATGAAAAATATTCCTTAAAATCTTTGTCTTCATTAGGAGAAATTTAGCTTTTTGATGGCGCCCTTTTCATCAATCTTTTCGATTACATTAGGGTGAATTAGTTTATGATAATCAGTTTATGATTAGTTTATGATAATTTTGACTGGTACTTATGCCTGACGTATTATAATATATAATATGTTTATAATTTACTGAAAAATTCGAAAAAATCCATTCCTGTATGGATTTTTTGGGAGAATTAGCTAGTTCACTGAAGTATACTGTTTAGTTTTATTTGTGTTTGATCTTCGAATTCATTTCATTTTATTAACTTCTATAAAACACTTCTCTTAAGTCACTTTTAAAGATCTAGGAAGAGTGCAATCAATTACACAGAAATAGTTGAAAGATTCAAATCAGCATTGGAAAGCTATGAAAGATTTTCATTTGCCGCATGGGTCGAATATGAATGTATGATGAAAGCTGCTTCTGTTTTTCGAGATCAGCGTTTGTATGCAGATATGGAGGTTAATGTTTTCTATAGAAGATTAAAAGAGAATTTTTTATAATATTTCGAAGTTCAAAGATTTTTTTCGTTTTTAAGAGAAAATAAGAATATCATTTCCCATCAACGAAATATTTTCCTTGAAAAATAGATTCAAAATCTTCTGAAATATTTTCTGCTATATAATATTTTAGGATTTCATAAGAGAACATATTGGTAAATATCTTGATGACAGCTTTGATCAGTTTGGTCACTTCACAAAAGCTCTGATATGTCTTAATTCTGCAGAAGTATATCGTAAAGTTGGTGCCGTTTATGAATTTTCTCATAGATTATTTTCCTTATTTCATTTATCTCAGATCTCTTTGATCTTTCCATTATAAATGGAAATTTCTGACTTGAAATGGAAAGGTTTTTCCATTATTATATTTCCATTATAAACAAAATCTTAATCTAATAAGGTATTCTCTTTCAGCAAATTAGTTTCACTTTAAAACATGAAAAAGGATGATGTATGGATAAAACTATTGTAGATTGGTTTTAATCGAAAGTGTGCATTTTTTGCACGTCTGGGGGTTTTGTTTCGCTTACACATAACAGAGAGCGGGAGTCGCACTGTTGCGGACTATCGACAAGTGTATCCAGTACTATACCGAACACTAATTGGTTATGGAGTGCCTGAAAATCCAAAAGAATTGTCAAGCGATTTAATGAGATTAGGGCCGGTACATATTCAAAGAAAAGCTTTGCATGAAGTGTTCATGAGCGCATTACGTGCCGAGTACTACGATGCAGCTATACGCCATCTGTGCTATATTTTGCAGGTTTCTAATACGATCCTATATTTGATTATCTTAACATTTTCTCCCAGTGTTGTACTGATAACTTAGTAAGCAATGAAACAACCTTTTTTGAATAAAAAAGAGGAGAATGGAGGAGGAAGGAGAAGAGTCGGCGCGCGGTTATTTTTGACTGGAACTTTTAATAACACTGAAAGCAGTCCTCTCAAGTGCTGGGATTTAAGCAAGCTCTAATACTCTAACTTTGAATTATGTTTCTTGATTTTGTAAATAAATATGGAATATTTTCAAACTTCGTTTTATGTCTTAAACTTGGGAAAGATTTCGAACATTTTTACAAGAGTTTGTTATGTTTCATTTTGATGCTTGTGAATTATATTTTTTCATTAAAAATAAACTTAACAAAATGTTCCCTTATATAAATATTTTAAAGGTGTATTATGATTATATGGATCAGGAAACATCCGAGCGAATGCTTGAAGAGTTTACCAAATTAGTGGCATCGCGAGATGTTCAACATCAGCTCAACGAGCACATTTCATTACCGCAGCATGGACTTATTATACCGCCAATTCAGATGATGCGTTTCCCGAAGCTTGAGTGCAGTTTTTGTTCACTTTTTCCTGTTATGGAGTAATATCGATTTTGTTATCTTTAAAGAAACAAAAAACGTTATCCTTTACTGTGGTGAAAAAGATTAGTGTATGAAAACTGCTTCATTTTGTTATTGAGACACGGCATGCTGTACAATTTGCAGGAAATTCGCAGTTTGTTCACTTCCGGGACATCTTGCTGCCACAACTATTCGACCAAAGCTTCATTCCGACATATTCATATATTCTCCATTTCAACAGGAAATTACTTCGAAAGGTTTGTTTAATGTATTATTATTCTTGACATAATAGTATTTTTCTTTATGAAATTGTAGATTTTTTTTGCAGTGAAATGATTTATCAATATTTTCTAGTTACTTGGGTTCAAGATTGCGCTTGCGAGGTTTCCGTTTCTGTAATCAATTGTCTGCCGTGCGAGTTATCTGTATCCAACCTCGAATTACTTTCTGAAGGCTGCGCTTTTGAGCCAATTCCTGTGCGGCTCACTTTGCCTGCATGTAGTGGTAACACGGAAGCCGTAGACCTGAAACTCATTGGGGTGCCTAGGCAAGTTTATTGATTTCTCTAGCTCTAAACTAGATATATAAAATATACTTCGGAAATGTTCAGGACTCTGATTTTTCTTTTCAAAACTTATGGAAATTTGAAAATTTTCACACATTCAATAAATAAACGTGTTTCTTCAAAAACAGTTCTTCAGAAGCTGAAATACTGAAAATTTGTTCCTTCATAAATTGAAAAAAAAAGAAAAGTTACAAAGCCGAGACTTCTGAAGAATTGCTTTTGAGCTCCATGTACATCTTATCGATTCAAGGGAATCAGGACGGCTCACTATAACTGGTTATTCATGCGAGATACTGGGTGTGCGTAATGTTTGTAAATTACGGGATTTTCCAGAACGTGTTAAATCGAAGGGCTTTCTCTCATCAATGTTTGATATTGAGGTTTGTTCGTTTCACTTTCTTTTTTTTTTTTTTTTTTCTTTTGATTTAGGCTACAGAAAAGAAGGGAGGGAGATGTGAAGAACAAATAGAAGAAATAAATTTGAAGTCTGCTTGGTGATAAATATTCACTGTGTACAGTCTGTTTTATTTCATTTATTGTAGATATTGCCGGCTTTACCTGTTTTGGAACTAAAAACCTCGCTGAGTCGAGCTCCAATCTCTGAAGATGACATTGAACCAACCGCAGAAATAACTGTTTATTCTGGACAAACGTTTTTTTTTTTTTTTTTTTTTTACAAAATAATTTTATTCGGCTGTATTTTTGTAGCCACTTTGGAAGAATATGTCAGTGAAGGAAAAAGAAAAAGGTGGAGAGGAGAAAAGGCTTTCTGAACTTCTCATGTGCTTCTCTGCAGTTTCTGAGTAGAAAAAAAGAAAACAAATCTAGTGTTTGTAATTTTGAATAGAAACTATAAGACTTCCAATTTGTTCTTTGTTGTGTCATAAAATGAATGTTCACCAATGATACTATTTTGAGAAATGAAATAATACATTATTTCTTTTAGCTTCGAACACAGTGTGTCATTGGTAAATACTAGTAAAACTATTACAGTAAGGCATGTTAACTTGGTCATTCGACAACCGAAGGTATGCTATTTCGTGAAATTTAATGATAAAAATTTGGTTTCATATTTTAAAATGCACAAGGCTATTTTTGCATATGGACATTGGACATTAATATGCAGGATAAGTTTTCTTAACTTGTTTTTTATAGCTTAAATTTTTTGTGATACTTGAACTGAAAAATTCTGAAGCGGTTCCCCTATTAACAGCAATTTGCAAAATGATTTCTTAAATATGCATTTCGACTTACAATTAATTATTTAAAGTCCAATTTTATGAGTTAAGAAAAATTAACAGATATAGCGTCAAATGATTCTAGTTTCTGTTTTTAGGTTTGTGGTGGTCCTTGTATGATTGAAATTGCTAGCCCTGAGTGGCTGGATGATAATGATAGTACCACTGAGTTAAGGAGGATCGAACCCTTGGAAAGGAAACAAATCAAATTCAGGTAAAATTTCACTTCTTATGCGTTAGCAACATACTTTATATTTTGAGTTATATTTCTTAAAGTTCAGATTTTTTACAGGACTTCGCTAGAACTTTGACTAAAATAATAAAATGTAGTACTCTTAAATGCTTTTACTCTACTATTCTAATGGTTTACTTTGAGGCGGTGTTTCTTGAACTTTTATTTTTGTGAGAAAAGTGTCAAGTGATGCAACAACTATTGTTGTCATAGAATTTTTGGAATTGATCCATCGGCTATGGCTGAAGATGGTTCACAAAAGGAGCGAGATAGTGAAACAGAGATTTCTACTTGCGATGCTCCATCTATTGAAGAAGCACATGACCGAATACCATTTACCGGAGTATGTGGTGATCTCTTAGATTAAATCCATTAAAGGCGAACTAAATATAAAGGAAGTCTAAAGATTCATATATATATATATATATATATACATGTATACTTGTCTTTCATCCAGTAAGTTTCCTTTATCGTTTACCAATCTGTTTCATAATTTATTCCTTTTAGTTTATGGATAAAAGTGCAATAAATATGTTCTGCATAAGTTTTATTTCACCAAAAAATCAAATTTGAAATATTTCTTTCCTACCAAAATTGGTATCTTTTGTTTCATTTTCTTTTTAATTTCAGAGATTATTAACTTGTGAATTCATTTTTTATTATCGAGCTGATATTGATGGCCCTAACGGAGAAGTAATTTTCACGATTAAAAAAATAATAATAATTTTATCACTTTTTTATTACTTTATAAGTTTCTCAGGAGTATGAAATTCTAATGTTTTGTTTAATGTTTTTGCACATAAAATTAAAAGAGTACAGTTCTTAGCAGTACGAAAGGCGTTGTCGATTGCCTTTAGCGGTATCAATTGTCCCTGCGGTAACAGTTGCTGCTTGGCATGTGTTGCCTGGTGATGGGCCGACAACAAGATATGTAGTTGTGGATGTGACAAATAATACTGAGTGGGATGCTGAATTAACTTATGGGAAGGATCGAGTGATTGGCGTACAGCCTAAGGAGTTTTGCAGGTGATTGATCGTGTCTTTTACTTCACTAATGTTCCTTGTTCTTTCATGTTACTACTCCATTGTTTTCCATTAGACCAATTAAACAGAGAGTTTGAGGCAAACAGTTCGAGTTTGCACTAGATTCTACGTCTAGAAAGATCATTAATTCTTCTCCATCTATTTCCATTCTCATTGAAACCTTGTTCTTTTGGTACAATCTTAAGGTTAACTTGAAAAAATTTACAAATTCTTGGTTCGGTTTTTTATGTCCATATGATCTTTTTTTTCATTTGGAGAAATGAAATTTCCAACAGCTGTTTTCTCAGAGTACCGCTGCTATGCAAATGTTGTTCTGAAGTAGCATCAAATGCATTTCAAGAAGCAGCCAGTCGTGCATCTCACATGATGCAAATGCAGGAAATGGAACGGTTACGACAAATTCTAGAACGTCATGTTTCCTGGCATCTGGATATTCGTTGGTCTATCTCCAGTTCAAGTCTTTCAGGATCAGTACCCGTCGGTCCCTTGCTATCTTCTGTTTCACTCCTGAAACAACTTGTAGTACCAGTGATTTCTGTTCGTAAGTATTTGTGTTATTGGTCAACGAGCGGTTTTATTCTAGTGTTAAATTTACACCATCTGTGTTGGTTAACGCAAATAATGTTTCGTTTCAGTGATCGCTCATGAACATAAATGGTGGTTTATTAGTTGTAAATTCCAAGTAGATTCTCAATAAAACTCGCATGATAAGGAAAGATTTTTTGAAAGCGGAAGCATTTTTTTTTTAACCCTTTTAAACCACTTTTCCTGTAAATATCATTGCAATATTATTTCCGATATGTCAAGGACACTTCAAGGTTCCTGAACTACTCAACATACCACCGATATATCTTTTCCATTAGTATTTATCTTTTATAATGGAACACTGTGATATGAATTTTTTTATTGCTTTCAAAAATAGCCTAACGGAAGTGTTTGGTAATTCAATTTTCAAAGTTCAGAGGCGAATGTAAACGGAATGCCGTTGTTGAATGACGATGAAATTACTGTTGGTATCGGTGAAATAGTTCAGCTCAGTTTAAGCTTAATTACTCCTACAAACGGTAATGCCCCAGAACTTGGAATTCATTTATTTGCCTTGTTTTCGCTTAAGCTGATAATAATGTTATTTTCGTAGCTTTGCGAAGTGTAGAATGAATTTATTATAACCGGTCTGGAATAAATGTCCTGGATATTCCATTAACATTAGAGCTTTTTTAGTGCTATTAACCTGCTTGTATTGTTTTTCATAATCACTCGTTTTTTGATATGATATATCAGTTCTAAATATTGCATTATCATCCCTTTTAGACACTCGTTCGTTTAGTGGTTTAATACAGCTGCAGTGTTACCGCGATTTACAAAATGGGTCCGTCATTGAGAGTGGTGATAATATGATTGTGTTAAATACTGAAAGTATACCATTTCAAATAGTGCAGGTATTTTACGTTGCTCTGTTTGCTTGATTCGTATATTTTCTTTTAAAATCTGGTTTGTACTCCCTAGCATCAGTTGCTTTTTACCATATTGAAAGTTTTAGAGATAAAATAACTAATATTTTCTCCTTTTTTTCAGGCTTTTCTTACTGTTTATAGATAACCTGACAATTTTCATGACGATAAACATTCTTAAAGCCAAATGAATTATTAAATTTAGAAGGAAGGAACGGTTGAAATAGCTACTCTATCTGCGGCAGATACAGTTTCAGTCGAAAATGACTATGCACCAGTAGCAACTGTTAATTTCAGTAAGAAACCTGTGAAACGAGTGGTTATTCAGGAAATATTTCATGCTAATTTCCAACTCCTGTTTCGCTATGAAGGAGCGCATAAGGTAATTTTTTTTTTTTTTTTTTTTAATTTTTGAGATGAAACTGAAGTTTCAGAACCGTCATTTTTGAAAACAAATAGTAATAAAAAATAGTTGGATAAACTTTTGAAAGGCTGGTGTTGCAGATCAGACCGCTCATTATTTTGAATGATAAATCTATTATCTCGTCAGATGAATTGTTCTGTTGTGCTATTTCATTCAGTGTGATCACAAAGGTTTCATAATACTATGTTATCTGCTTATTCTGCGGGTCTCTTTCTATCCTTTCAACTTTTCTGTTTGTATGTAAATTTCTCTGACATCAAACAAATACTGTAAAATTTTTTTTGAACTTGACTGTTTAACATAAAGTATGTGAATAAAAGTGCCTGTCTACTTTCGAAGTTATACAGTGTTAGTTCAAATGTATTGGGAGCTGGCTGTTTTCATTTGTCGAACTTTACTGACTGTTTCCATGAGCGATCAGTTACTTTTAACATTTATTTAAGACTAGAGACCATGGAATGTAAAAGAATTTGTAAGAAATCAAGTAAAAAGCTGAAAATACTTGATTCTATATTCTGTAAAAAGAAAGCAGTAATACAGATCAAATACAATTTCACAGTAAGTGTTGGAAAACCAAAAAAATACTGCACATTAAGTGTTTAGAATAATACAAACCACTTCGTTATTCCTTTGTTATATCCCATTTTTTTTTTTGAAACAATGAATCCTTTATCTAAACCTCAAATAGCAAATGTACATCTGTCTTCACTGTAAATGTTAATCTGCTAAGCCAACCCAGCCCACTTTCTACATCCTTAAAAGCCTTCTTTAATCTGATAACAACAACGAAACGATCGGTGCAGTCTTCTCTTCCTCCTACTCACTCAACAGTACCACTTACTCCTTTGCTGTTTCAATTACTCCACTATATATTTGTCGGTTGATCTCGCTTGCAGATAAGAAGCAAAAGCTTCAGTTCAAGTTCTATAAACTTAACCTAAGTCAAGTGAACTTAATTAACCTAATTCGTCTGATCAGAGAGTGACTTCAAATTCACAACAGTAAGTTTCCCATTGCATCCAAATTTCTTCCATTTAGATGAGGTCTGCACCTGGAGCCTTTCTTTGTATCGGTTATTTTTCGATGGATGTGAATGTTCTCAGAATTTTCCATACTCATAGAATTTTCCACTATAACAAAGTATTTCCCACCAGTCCGTTATTCTTTATTCCTTATAGTATTTTCATTTTTTTAGAAAAAAACACAGTGCATGACATTTTCCTCCATGTCTCACAGCACCTTTGAAGTTAAGCATTTCAAGAATCGAAATAACAGTCGCTTCAGACTGAGAATTTTTCACAAACATTCAGGCAACATAAACTGTGCCTTATTCAAAACATTAACTACAACAACTCATCAGACGCTTTTTCCGTGCGACTTAAAATCGATGTCGAAAACTGCAGACTATGTAGAAAGGAAACAAAATATAATTGTGCTAACTTACAAAAAGTATCTTATATGTGAGCGAAGAACATAACAAGGCTACATCACATATATATAGTTGTATTATCGCACATTAAAAAATAGTAGGAACAGAATAAAATCATTATTTACTTACTCATCAAGCAAAAAGTGCAAATAGCAGTTTAGCCCAAGGAAATGACAAAAATAAGGGGCAGTACGTACATGAACATGAAGGCCATCAACATTCGATACAATAAGAAGTACTCATGAAGATTTTTTCCGCTTTTGGCGGAGCTTCAAAACATCTTTTCTTGAATGTTACTGTTTTCTTCTGAAAGAGGAAAAAAAAAAAAACAAAAACGGAACGACAGTGAAAAGAATATAATTTCTCGGAGAAGAGACTAAGGTCAACTGAGAAAACTATCACATTAGCGAGAAATGGCAGAATTAATCTTTATAAATTTATAAGTTCTAACAAATATCTAAAAAGAGTTCAGCTTGGATAGAAACATTTTATATTAATAACGTACGTACATCATGAAAGTCTCAGCTATATTGCAATAAAAAGTTGTCCGAGTTAAGAATTTCAAAATATATTTTAGTAGACGTAATAATTTTGAAAGTAGTCGCTAAGAGAATCAGGAGAGAATCAACCTAACAGTGTTAGGTTGCGTTAGATTCCAAAACTAAAAATTTGATAGAAAAGTTCTAAAATTAAACGTGAACTTTGTTTTAATGACAGCAAAACAATAATGCCAAGATCCGAAAATATACTTCAGTAATCTTCATCAGAGCTAGCAAAACATCGTGTTCCTATTTTTATAAAATTCCTTTTACCAACCTTCCTTCTCTTAAACATATGGTTGGTGCAAGTTAGAATGAAAAAGTAAATGCCCAATTATATGCACAGTAAATATTGACAATATCGGAAAACACTGAGTATTTAAAAAGTGTGGATAAATAATGAACAAATTCAATACAAACAGGAGAATTTACTGAAAGCACGGAAGAAACACAATCACAACATACGGAAGAAAATTAACACAAGAAAAGAAGGAAAGGAATTAAAGCCTAGTATGTTAGTACAACCTAAAAAAAGATCGTTTGTTCAGGAAATCATGAGATAGACTCTGCATGGATTCAGTTGCCATTTAAAAAAATCATTGCTACCCATGTTACCCATTTTCAAATTGAAAACCAAAACTTCTTTCCTTAAAAATTTGCTATCAAATTATCGTATCTCTCTGACAATTTGATGACAAATTTCAGTCTTATTTGTATTCATCTTAAGGGTCCAACTTCAGATTTTCGATTTCCAATCCAATCAACACGAAGTTATCTAAAATACAACAGATTTCTGTTGAAAAGAAAGAGTGGAAAGTTTTATCATAATCATATTGAAAAACAACAGATATTAATAGTGAATTGCCTTGTTTCATTTAACCTGATGATTCCGGTGGTAAATTCATCCTTAGCTGAAAATATGTCCAATTCTCGTTTGTGCAGCGGATGAATTGACGCTCCGGAGATACCGTCCGGAACCAACTCTACCACTGCTATCTGCACTCATCACGGCATATGGTGAATCAAACATTTGTGGGCTGACGAGTGCATACCCATAAAACCTAAAAATCATCGTTGCTAATATACTTCAAGAAGTGCACAGGTTTGAACTGTAAGTTGTTTTAATATCGTCCATTGCGGAATTTATAAATCTTATCAAAATAAGCAGCAAAATTAGATTTGCAACTCTCATAATTTTTGAATTTATTTAAGCAAACAAATTAAGTTCGAAGGTTTCGCAAAATATTAAATTCGTCCTGAAAAGATCCGAAGAAAAAAATGGGATAATGGAAAGACTAAAATTGAACAGTAAATTTTAGTCTTATTGTGTTCAACTTGAGGATCCAACTTCAGATTTTCGATTTTCGATCCAATTAAGTTGGATTTAAAGCACAACAGGTTTTTGTTGCAAAGAAAGGAAGAATGGCAAGTTTTATCACAATCAACTTAAAAACAACAAGTATCAACAATGAATTATCTTGTTTCATGTAAACTAAGGATGAATTTACCAATGGTAAATTATGTCCATTCTCGAGTAGATGAATTGACGCTTCGGAAATTCCAAACAAACTAATTGAAGTAAACATGACAGCCAATTTTGAAACTAAACTAGAAATTTCTATGAACTAAAAAAAAATTGAAAACATGGAACAACATACCCGGAATCAATCCTGTAGGGTTGATCATAGTAACGCTTTGAGGCCTGATAATAATATGGATTTTCATCTGTTGACCAATAAATTGATTGTTCCTCCATGTGTCGGACTGGTGGTGTCTAAATCTCAATAAGAAACTTGAAATTCTAATTTAACTACCTTTCAAGGAATAGAATAGAATCATATTTGCAAGACAGTGTACAATCTTAGCTAGTCGAAATATTCTTCCCATTTAAATAATTGAATTTTTTTAACTGTTATAAAGTGCCATGGCTATAATAGATTAACGAAATGAAATCATCTGCAGTTGATATTCAACGACAAAAAACCATCAGAAAGCAATCAGCTAACGACTTCCATTTTTGAAACATTTGTCTTCATTGCAAAAGGTTAGTCGAAGTATCGAGAATAAATATTTAAGCTTTATTCACTGCTCTAGAACAAAATACCTGGAGTTGTGGACTGACCAATGTTCGTTGAGTACCATAGTTGTTGTCTTCGCACAGTACAATGGTTGATGTGCTACTTGTGGGCTTACGACATGCCGCGTACAAGAAACTGAATCATAATCAAGATTTTTACTGAAGTTAAACAATACTGAGTAAGATGGAAATATCAATTACTATGAGTTTAAAAATGAAAAAGGATTCTTTTGATTTGATAATGAACTACACGGAAAGAAGGAATTATACATTAAGGAAAGTGCAGTTTCTCTTTGGTAAATACGGATTTAAATCATGGATTATCAATTGACTGCTAGTTTTCGAACTCTCTTGAGCATCAAAAAATCTTGCATTATTCAGAACGGTGAATTCTGATCATTCTATCCAATAATCCAACCAGCTTTTAAATAAAGACGAAAAGCTAGAAAATCGCTGGCTTATGACTTTTGCTTGGAAATATAGATGCATTTGCGCCATCAACAAGAGATATGGTGCACTGAATGTCCGGTTAATCCTGACATGTCGGCATTTCAATACAATTTGCTATCTGCTCGCAATATAGGTAAAAAACAGGAAACTTTTGATGTTATATCGTTCTTTTCTATAGCTAACAATATGAAAAGTTTTTCCAATCAATCAAAAGAAGATTGAAAATCAAACCTGACAATAGCAAACGTAGAACAAAATGTACATATAACACAAGCAGTGGAAGCACAAGCAGTTAGTATCAAAACTACTTCAATAATTACCCAGTGAAATCCCTCAACTGTAAACAATACCGCCGCCTAAATTAAATACACAATATAAAATGGATGCCAGTCTTTATTAGGTAACAATTATCTGAAAGTTACATTGAGATACGTAAAATTACACCGAATTTCTAGAAATATTTGAAATTAGAGGAATAAATACCAGGAAGTAGGTATTGGATATGGCGTAGCTAACCATAAACAAAGCTACTGATGCAGCTATCACATTTAGTGTTGTCACCGAAAGTAACAATGCAGGATAGCATAATGATAATACCTAAATGGAATATTTATTCATAGTATATTAAGATCATGGAAATGAAAACTCTTACAAAAGTGGTGAATTTTTGATATCAGATGATTTCCAAGGCTGACAAGTATTTTAAAAAGGAAAAAACATGACTGCCTCAGTAATTTTAAAAGAGGAAAAGGCCTAAGTGGCTACCTGCAAAATGGAAATGCCGAACACCAATAGACCATTACCCATGTGGAAGAAGGGAATTTCGACCAGCGATTCAGAAAAAAGCCAATAAACGAGTGTGAATACAACGTTACAACCAACAAGTACTACACCATAGAACATATTGCCCAGAAACAATATTAGGTGCATGCCTTAATTTATTGATATTATTGGTCCTATTAGATGGCTGTAATAGTGAATGACAACAGACAGACGATATGAATTTCAAACTCATTTCTATATCAAATATCATCTACATTGCTACTTTTATTAACTGTAAAGGTACTATTCAGTCTCTACTTTCTTCTGGTGGCTCCTACATATCAACTATCCTTACATAAATTTCCTGCCAAAATTATGCTTGTTTTTCGCAGTTTTGTGCGCTGTGAAAGTGCCATGCCCCCAATTTACTTAAATTTTAAAAGCTCAACTAAATAACTGAATTTCAATTTTTTGCAAAATCAACATAACAAGGAAGTCAATGCCAACATGTGGAATACTTTACTGCTTGACGATATCGCTGTTTCAATGCGCGGCCATATATGATAACTGAAAAAAATCCCGTGAGAGTTTCCAAAAATAGGATCTGAAATAAAAAATAAATTTATATTTAGCGCTTCAATTTTATAGAAAGAATGAAGTTGGAAACAAAAACCTTAGCTTGAAATATGCTCTCCAATTCTGAGCATCCTTTACTTCCACTTAATTTAAAAGATAAATTTCTGGCTATCTTGATATTGTATCATTCTTTACATCAATTTGCTATCACTCTCTGCAAAACCATGGTAGAATTTTTCATCATTATGGATGTTGAGATGAATAATTGTGTCGTAAAGACTAACCATAAGCTGCACACTATATAAAACTAAACGACCAAGAAATGCATCTTGAGGACCACGGATAAAAGCAGGATAAGTTGCGGACTGATATGTGAGATTGATACTTGAGCACATCTTTTCTAGGGCGCATGTGAAACAGATGAATCCAAGCAGAAAATGAATTGATAAGTGCGAACTACAACAAAAAACGAACCGATTATTTGATATGATAATATCAATATGGTCAATAACAGACGCACTATCTTTTCAGTCCTACAATCATAAAAATATTCCCAGGATGTTTTAAGGACCTGATACAAGTAGACCTAGAAACAATTTCTCCGATATGACACTTCTGTTCAATGAAGAACTTTAAAGTAATGAACAATTGCAAGCAGAAAAGGATCCATACGAAATTAATCTTATGAAACATATGAGTTGAACCAGTAATCATTTTAAAAATTACCCAGAATGCGTTATGTATAATATGCCTGTAGCAAACAACAAGACAGCAAGCCACATTAAATCAGCACCAATATAATTTGCATTCCAGGGTACATCAATCAACCCAAGTACCACTAATACCAACAATAACATTCCCCAAATGAAGTGTAACAATCCCAGATATCTACAACAGTCACTGAATCTTCTTAGCCCATTTGAAACTAATTCAACTAGCTTCTTTAATGTTTTTAGTTATTGAACGACTTCGAATAATGATCTTTTATTCCTAAATCTTTTCAATTTTTAGTTTTCCCGAATGTTAATGTCAACTTCAACTCTTTCTGCTCATCTTTCAGAATAGAGAAAATTTTTTTATAATATAGTTCATTTATTATAGCTCCAAACTAATTAGGAATATTATTCCAATCGAAAATATGTTTTAAAAAACGTGAACATGTGGGAATTGACAATTACAGCTTTAAAAATGCTGCAAGTAGACCTGCTCTGCAAAGAAACATTTCTTCGGATCATCGAATCTTCGTCATAATATTCGTATTGGATACATTTACTACCTTGAACAGCAGACAGCAAATTTAAACCAAAAAGCAGAGCAAACAAGACCACCAAAAATCCTTCCATGATGATAATCAAGTAAGTTCGATCTACTGTGCCGTAGACTGATAGTGCTGTAATTTGGAATAACAGTAACAATAGAACAAAGTGAAGAATCAAAATCTTTCCGCAAGAAGAATTATGTCTGCTTTTGTATTGAATTTATTAGAAGTAGCGTCTTGAGAAAGATATTTGTTGAATGAAAGGATAAGACATCACAGATTAAGACTTCAAAATTTGTTTACTCTCCGTTGGTTACTTGCAGGGAAAAACAAAAAAAAAAAATATTGTAAAACAAGGTGATGGAAAGGTAGAAAGACACGAAAACACTCCAACTCACGGTAACGAGAAAAGCGAGACTAACTTTGGGTTCCATTTCGAGGAACTGAGCCTACTGCTCTCCATATCTGAATATCATCATAGTAATATGGGTACATTTCAATATCTAATGATTTCAGGCACCAAACTGCTGCAATCACTGACATTCCGATCGCAACCTGCAAATCTATTCATTTTATTAATTACAAAATAAATTTCTCGCGTCTGACATATTAAAAAAATCCATGTGGTAATGATGAAACATGGTTGAAAAACCGAGACACATACATAAATCATAAATTGAGGGACAAAAAACAGCACCTTATAATTAGCCGCCGATTGTTTACTAATGATAGCCGAATGCAAATCAACTATTGCGCTGACAATTGTCAACAGTGCAGCAATGTGATCAAGAGCGATCAACACAAATAGGCCTTTATTTGATACCTGAAACAGCAAGTACAGTTGACTTCAGAACTAAAAGTGTAAATGAAAACCTTTTTCAGATTACTTGCAACATCCTGGTTTCAGAAGTCTACGTTGTGCTTGCTGGGAACAATCAACAACAATACTAACGAAAACTAACCAACTGATGTTCGTATTCGACCAAGACAGCTAGAGCTAGAGTACATAATGCCGAAAACAATTTTATCGCAGCCAAAACAGTAAGGCCCAGGCGGTTCGCACGATACTTTTTATTCTGGTCACGCTATAAATTATACGACATTTCAACATTGCAGTTTCAAATTCTTATAAACCCATCAAAAATTATTCCTCTTTTTCCCGAACAAGCACAGATATTATTAGGATTATGTTTCCAGCAAAAGTCAGATCAAGAAACGGTATAAGACTCATATAAAAAGCTCCCTTAAAAAGCCTAGAACAGCTGGAAATGAAAACAATATTCGTAATAGTTCTGTCTTCGATGAAATAATTTTAAGATCCAGCAAGTATAAAGAAAGATATCTAGCAACCAGTCACCGAGTACTGAGGCCAAGTGGGTTGGCTGACGACGATAAGACGATCCAGAAGTGCTGCAGCGACAAACGCTGCTAAACAAGCGGTAATTGGTACAAAGATCATAAGAGAACAGATGACCAGTTTGGTCGTGAAGTTCTCACTAACTTCACCGTTCTGCATTTCATTTTGAAGATTGGGCTGCTCCTGCATCAGTGCACTATGCAGATGCACTATCTGGAAAATACTTTATTCTTTCACAGACTTAAGTGCTAAAATCAAGACTTGAAAAGACTGTAAAAAGGCAATTTTTTTTCTCCTTTTCTGTAATCCTAAAGCCCTTTTCAAAAGCCTTTTTCAAGGCTTTTTTTCTAAACATCCCTTGAGAAATTCCATGACACCGATTACCCTGAAAAGCGTAACGCAGTAGAATGCTGTAGAATAGATAGCAACAGCAATTGATACACAATGCACTGTCTTTGCCACAACAATTCCATGATTCCGAGATAAGGTATAGAGGCCTACTAAGCCAGCAAGTACATAAATCCAGTTTAGCAGCCGTAGATCAATCCTTCTGAAACATAGCTTTGCGAAATACATCCAGTAATTGAAGAACGACAGGGTCAAGGTCGTTAAAACAGAGAGTCGAAATTTTAAAATTTATTTCTTTATACAGTTCTTTAAATATTTAATTTCCCATACAAAAGAAACACTTTTAATGACATAGTGTCATAAAATATCAACATTCAATTGTATATTATTCGATGAATATTGTCATGAAATAAAAAATATAAAATACTCGGATTATTTACCGGTAATTGTTGAGAGCAACATTCCAAAATTGACTCGCAGCAAGACCTACAGCGGTAAGACCCACTATGATCAATATTATATTACAGGTCTGGAAAAATGCCTCCACAATTAGAAAATGAATAATCGGTTCCTACTTTTTCCATTACATTCTAGATATGTGAAGTGAAGTGTGTTAGAATGGTGTAAGATGTACAACTAACTGTCATACAATATACTTAGAGAAAAAAATGAGAAATCAAAAATGCGAACTGAAATTAAAAGGTGCGATATAACATGTACAGCAATCTTCATCTATTCGTTCCAGCTAAAACTTATTTCCCGATTATGGAGACTGATGATGTTACTTGGCTTTTTTATAAATATGGAGATTGAGAATGCCAAAATCTTATTTTTTAAAACGTAAACTTTAACTGTAAGACAAAGGTATTTTGCAACTCACTATTAAATCATTTAAATGTATGGACCTGTATTTGGTAAAAATACGTTGAGCGCGCCGTCATTATTCCAGAACTGCGGTAAACGTGCAAAATAAATTTGCTGATTTATAAAATGAAATAGAACAGCAAAATTTATCGGTGGCGAGTAGTTAAAACAGAGTAATAGTGATAGTAGTAGTACATTAACAGACACAATAGTATTATGTATGGTAGCAACAGTGGTATCAGTGATAAGTAGCAATAAATATTATAATATCTGGAGGATTTGAAGTAAAAAATAACGAGCAGTTGAGTTTCCGGACCTACAAAGCATAGATCTTCAAGGAATTATGCCAATGACAGAAATGCTTCAAGTGAAGGTACAACAAACTGACATTGAGATATTACAATATTTCGAATTATCAATTTTAATTCATTATTTCGCAATTGATTCCGGGTTATAATAAAAGATATTAAACAAGATGGTGGGTTTGTGTTGTATGATAAACTGAAGTAACTGATTATTTGGAGATATGTAAACTATAGATATAAAGTAAGGTAAAATTTATAATAGAACATGAAGAGCGCCCTAGAAGAGTAGTATAACCGTATAAACAGAAAATCAAATACCAAACTTGCCTGCTAGACAATTTCTTATTCAAAAAACTGTGACTTCTATCTTGAAAAATCCATAAGTGATAAAATCAAAAATTTTGGTAAGGTGCTATTTTGTTGTTGGTTTCGTGTTATTGCTTATTTCTTCTTTTAGCTCTGCTGGATACTGAAGTGAAATCGCATCACCTCATTACTCTTTCATTTCCCCATTTGACCAGTTTTTTCATAGCATAAACTTTGCTGGTGAATACCAGACATCAAAGATTAGCAGCAGATAATCGTGGAATTAAGCGTATAATGATTTTATTAATTTGGCTTTACCATTTCTATTGTTGATTATTATTACTGTCGTTCTGACATGCATAGTATTAGAGGTAATATCGCTTTATGTGAGAAATGAATAAAAGAAAACAAGCCAGTGACCTGGCCAATTTTTTTTATAGTAAGCGCTTCAGCAGTTTGAATTATTTGCGTAATCCGATCTTCCTTAATCAATTTATACAGAACAATTTTAAAAAATTTTTAAACAGAAAACACATATTAATCAAAAACTTATGGAAAAGTTTTTTTTTTTTTTTTTTTTTTTTTCACAATTCAAATGGAGAATAGAGAGATGATAAAACTGCAAATAGCAACATCAATACGTACATTAAGGGATTTGAGAAATCTAAAGAAATGAATCTCTTATGAAATAAATCTCACGGATTAATTTCTTGAACTTCTGCTTTAAATTTTCTGATTAACGTATAAAAGTTATGGAAAGAACGAGGTGGAAATGTAATAGGTTGTGCAATAGATTTTGATATTATTGTGATATTATATGATACTATCCGAGCGTATAAAAGGTCGCAAGATTAAATGACAATCTGGCCATTCACTACTGTCCTTTCGAAAAATTTTGGGCTTGATAACTGATGGTCAAAGATGCAGTAAACAAAACTAATCGCTTTTTTGAATGTAGACGGGTGCAGATAAGCATGCAGATAGATCGGTTTCAACTAATTAGCAAAGCAAGCAAGTCCTCCTTGCTAAATAATAATTCCTTTAGTATCTATTAAAAACATTCCCATTTTAAATGAGTGACACTAGACTTTGTGTATATCTCTTGTAAAATAGTTAATCATTTCCAATATTCCATAAGAATCTAATTTTTAAGAATTACTTGGAAAATTATTGTTTCATTCGGACCTCTTCCTACACTTAGCAAAGTGTTTCGCATGTGATCTATACAATAAATGGATTAATTTGACTGATATTAAAACCTGAATGTGTAATTGTCTCATTTGCTTCAATAATAGTAACTTGCTATTTGGCACTTTAATATTAGAATCAGCAGCCTAAACATTTAGCGCCTAAATAGTGAGCTTTCCCACCGGATAGCGCATTTGTACAAAATATAGTCTGAGCGCCAAATCATTGAAGAGAGTGATAACAAATACCATTTAACTATTACTACCCGCTAGTAACGTTACCGAAGAGAATAGGGTTCAAATGCACAGAAATAATAATAAAAGCGTTTAATTCCAAAAAAATTTGTATTTATTCCTTTTTCCTGCTTAGTGATTACTTTAGCTTCCGCAGTCCACTGTAATTTTAAGTGAAATGAAATGAAGAAGATAGCACTGAGAATTTTGAGAGTTATGTATTTGTAATGTAGCAAACTGTTTTGTGAGAGCAATTTTATAATATCCTGTACTTCATGGAATGGAAGGAGTCACAAACAAAATGAAAGGAAGACGAAAAGAAATGATTCGAAAAAATGAGAATGGAATGTTTGTCATTTAAGTTCCTAAAATAAAATAAAATAAAACCAGCTACAAAGATTTTTTAGAAAAATCTTTATCTAACAAGCATAAAGTGAATGAATAAATTAATCAAATAATTAATACAACTTATTGCGATTAAAATATTTATATTGCTGAGAAACAGCTTGAAATAGGAAAATGGCTGACATTTATTTGGTCGCGCTTATTATTAGGAGAATCATTAGCTGTTACATAATGTCAAAATAACAAATTAACACCGACATCTCTTTTTCCATCTGACACCTCTTCAATCATCCAAATATCAACAGTATCGAAGTTGTTTTGCTGTTAATTTGGTTGATGATTACGTACAAACATATTGATAAGGCATAATATCAGTGATAAGCAACATAAAGACTTCAGATACAGTAAAAGAGATTCGACAAATAATTTCGAAGTCTGTTGCTCAATTAAACATTGAGAAAGAATCTAACCTATTTCTCAAAAAATTAAAATAAGTAAATCTGTTGTTGTTGCTATTGCTGATGACTGCTGTATAAATCATATAATAAACATTATTATATTAGTGATAAAGAATTCTAAATATTGTAAAACTAGCGAGAAATCAGTAAATGAGTGAAAATCTGTCATGTTACGATAAGCAAGTGGTAAGGAACTACATAATGGACGGTAAGAATAGCAAGTTCACAAACAGACAATAAAATAGACACTTGAAGAGGCCGAAAATAAAATAGACATGTAAACAGGTGAAATAGATAATGCGCAGAGGAGACAGTGTTGTCCTTGGAGGAGAATTTCCACAAATGCCGATAATCAAAAGATGAAAGCACTATATGTTGTGTTCAAAACTTCTTTAAATGAAAAGGAAAGAGTAAAATCTGAGCAAAAATTTATGGAAGGGAGCCCAACCGTAAATATCTAAAATGCGCCGATGTAACCATAAATGAGATGAAACATTGGAGCAGCAACGAGTCACACGGACACAATGACTGTTGCCGCAACGACTAAATGCAAATTGAATGTGGAATGCACCTTCAAATATTTCATTCTATTCCTAATTTAAACAAAGAAATGTTACTATTAGACTGTTCCCAGTAGGCTCGAACCATTAATTTTTGATTTTGCCATATATTACTCGGAATATATAACGTTTGTAAAGCCCAATTCTAAATGCGTATTGACCGATAAGGTGATGCGATAGTTTTTACAAAAACAAGTGTGACAGGCCTGAGGAGTTTCAAAAAGTTAGGGATTTATCAGCATGCAGCAAAGTTTCAAATGGTGATTTAATCACTACTCAAAGCATTTATTCTAATAAAACTTTGAAAAATGTGAGTAGGAAAGCATGCAAAATTGTTGAAATCTAAAGTGACCTTTTCTGAGATGCAATAAAAGTGGTTTCGGTGATTTGACATAATTCTTGTTTGCTTTCTCTACATTTCAGTAGGTTATTTCAGAACTCTAGTCGTAATATATTCCTCTATATCCTTTTCTGGGAGATCATAAAAAGATATAGCATAATATGATCACAGATATGATTAAACAATAATTACAGTACCAACGGGATTTCATTGACTTCAGCGAGATTTGAATATGAATTTTCGTGAATCTCAAAATTCGTCTTATGCTGAGATGTATAGTTCTTTACTATTTAATTATCAAATCAGAAAAATGGAGCCTAAAATCTGGCAGTAATAATGAATCGATCGGTACCAAAAAAGAGGAAGCTTGAAGTTTTTGAAATTCTATAAATTAAAAGGAACAGAAATCATCATTCTGATTACTATTGTTACGCACTAATTATTACACATAATTACAACGTCCAGCAACAAATTTTACCAGAATGAAAAGAAAGTCTGGGAAATACAAAAGCAGAACTAGTAAAAGTTCATTATCGTAAACTTCCATAAAATACTAATAATTTTGGATATGAGAAGTTTCAGTGAGGTTATAAAAACAATTCCCTTCTTCAAAAGAATTAAAAATAAACTTTCAACATTAGTGCTGACAAATCGAAACCAAAATCATAAAATGATTTTTATAACCTCACTATGTGATTCCGAGGATAGGAAGACATTTCTTAAGATAGAAAAAGAGTAACAATATTTTGAAATATTACCAGAATTTATCACGAATTTGGGGTGCAACTAAAATTCATGATCCATAACAGATTTTAAATGAATTTGCAGTCTGCTCTTCAAAATTTCCGGATTTTTCTTTAAGGTTTTTTGACATGAAGTTTCTTAGACAAATAGTATAGATTTATAAATACATGATTAGATATTTTCTTTCAAATTTATTCCACATTACTCTGCATCAAAGGTAGTCAGTTGGTAAATTGCCTGTAAATTAACAGTAGGATAGCTAAATAGGATACATAGGCAATTAATCCAAAACAGGAAAGAGTGGAGATTAAAACTCATGGCAATTACTAAAGTCACTAATTGGTCGCATACCGCGTTTCGTAGTTATTCGACTGCGCTTGCCAAATAACACAATGGCAAAAACTGAAATATTTCAACTACTGCATAAATGGAGACACTTAAGCCCTAAAGACCTAAAGAAGTTCGTTCTCCAATGACATAATCAATGGAAGCTGAGTTGATGAAGGAAAGTTACTTCACTGATTCATAGCTACCAAGCTGAGACTGAAACCGAAGTAAAATAGGTTAAAGACATGAGTCTACATTTTAATGACAAATATACCGAAGATGTTGATAATATCAATGAGAATGAAAGGAAGAATATTTTCAAAATAATATATTACCGAGATTTCTTATTTGCGACTCTCTGCAATATTCATTTTTTGTTATTATTGAAATAGCTGTTTGTTTCAGGCTAATTATTATTTCTATTACTTCTGGTCTGTTACTCACAGGCAGTTGAAATCACAGTTGTGGACAATGATAGGTGGCAAAATATAACGAAATGAGAAATCATCAAGCAAACATCAGATTGGAGCAAAAACATTCTCGCTACAGATGCGAGGGGGAATGACTCCGAGCTTTGCAAATTGTGAATTGTTCTTCCAACTGATAATTTCAGAAATGTTTGCTAGAAGGATTATGCAATCCCGACTGCCCTCAAAACCAGTATTTATTGCATCATATAAACAGAAGTAAGTTGATACAAACATATCGACATGACACGATATGGCATAATATCAAGTCGCAATTCACTTCCGATTACAAATATTTATATTGCTATTTCCGAATAACTGCTTCTGAAAATATTTTTAAAGAATAAGCCACTCACCTGTAAACATATGACCTTTTCAGAAATAGGAGAGACACTGAGAGACAGAAATGGGATCGAATCACGCAAGCTAACAAAATGGTTAATAAATGTAGAGAGAGTAAAGTAACAGCGATCTGAAATCTGGTCCAACCATTTGGAATAATCGATGAAGGACAGATAGACAGAGAAGCACTGTATCTGTATTTGGGAAATGCTGCAGCAATGATTTAACATGAAAAACTTGAAAGTAGCGGTGGGTTCGTCATTTTCCTAAACAAGAAATTGATTATTTTGTTGAATAATGCTTCCAATATTGAAATGGCAGCAACTTATCTGTCCAGGGTTTTGGGAAGATTTCAGGGAAAATTCAGTCACATGAAAGTTGAAATGCTTTTGACCGATGTTGTGAAAATATAGGCATGTAATTAAACAAAGGATAGACACCAACCAATATCCTAACTTCTTCCATTTCTTGATGGCAAGAAAATCTATGTTTGTCAAACTTTTATTTTGATAATTGGAGACAACCAAATTCCATTAATTTATATCATCCCGAACAAATCATCACTATTTATTGCACTGCAGTTCGTATCCCAGAACGGCTGCTTGTCCTTTTATTCAGAAAGAAAATTCGAATTAAAGAAAGGGATGCGAACGATAAACGTACGATGTAACTGGGACGAAATTAATGAGGTCTGCAGAGATCAACTGTTGATGAAAAGAGAACTACGTGCTTCAGCTAGCTCACTTAAGCAAATAAACTTGACAAAGTACAGGTAATAGAGAGGAAATTGAAATTTGATCATTTCCCCTTTTTCTCATTCATATAGCTACTATTGATAAAGATATGAATATTATTATTATTACAATTAATAACTGCTAAATAAGTGGATTGTAAGTAACCGCGAATTGGTCCTCTACTCTCGTTGTTTTATTGCTTGAAAGTGGTTTAAATTTGGTATTGTAGTATTTAGATATAGAAAGATCCATCTCAAATATTAGATAAGTTACAAAAAAAATTAAGCGAAGGGATACAGATCAGAAGACGACTATGTGCATCACTTCAAAAATGTGCCAACCGATTACATTGGAAGACTCTATCGTTTGTCACAACTCACCATAACGATTCGCTTCACTTTTCCATTCAAGTTACATTCTCTTCAGGGTAATGAAAAACGGAGCTGAAAATAGTTCTTCAAAAAACATAAAACCAGAGAAGTCACTAAAGAAGGCAGCGCTGCTTGATACAACAAGGGAAGAAGTCTCAGACTTAGCATCAATACGAGAACCTGAAGCGCAATCACCGGTGAAGTCCGGAACAGTGGCAATGACTGGATAAAAACTTTCACACCAATTATGCTTTCAGCCAATCAGGACATATATATTCGTTGAATTTTTCAATATTTTCAATTTACTGGTGATCCTCTTTCAGCATTGTAAAACACACCTATCATTAGGGGAGTGAAAATATTAAAATTCAATGATTAGGTTCAAGAAAAACAGACGCCAAAAGAATAGCAAAAGGACATCGTCACGCAGGTACAGTCCGTTTTAACTTATAAGTCAAGAAAATTGCAAAATGATTTGTTATTCGGTCATATTTTGTTAGAATAAATAACACCCGTTTAAACAGTTCATAACTCATAAAGCAAGTTCAGGAAGGGCATCTCGTTTCATAATATTGCCGTGAAACTTAATTCTCTGCTTTTAATCGGATGTGTGACTTCAATGAAGCAAAATACATTTTTGATAGGTGTATAAAACTATACTTGAAAATACTTCCAGACGAACTAGAACTTTTATTATAATATTCGTCTTACTAGTTACAGATCGATCTGGAAGTTGGAACAGAACTGCAGCAACTAAGTGGCTTTACTAGTGTACTTCTCCGACTATACTCGACTAGCGATCGAGCACAGTCAATAAAATATCAATAAAATGTGCACAAATCGGGGGTAGTAAAATTCAACATTGAAATCAGGTAAGAAAAACTTGAGGAAATGCATTTTCTATTTTCGAAAAATTTCTACCAATCGGGAATCGATAATCGATGCACCAATAAGCAAAAAGATAACAGTTTCAACCCTAATCCCACTACTCTAATATTCTCAAATTCCATTACTGAATATTTTCCAATAAGTGTTTGACATGCGGCTTCATATATGAATGTTATGCATGTATTAAATGCGGGTGCTCAAAGTAACTTTTATACAAACTATAGTGCAGATATGAAAATGGAATACGAAATTTCACATCATCATACTGATATTGTCTTGAGAAGAAATAACACAAAGAAATTTGAATATGGTTCGACAGGGAAAAAAGAAGACTGAACATATATGAATCTGAAAAAGAATAATATGAAAAAACTGGAACGGGGGAGGAAGAACAAAAGAAGTGTTTGAACCTGTTAGCATATAACCGCACCGGATGACTCCCAGTTTCTGAAAGGATTCTTCAAACTGAGACTCGTCACAGTTAAGACGACCCGCACCAATTAAACAATAGGATGCTGGTGTAGAAAACAATTTTTGCTTTTCAAAACGACCTATTAAATATTTGCTTGAGCTTGTTCTAAAAATGTAAAAATATTTTAAGGGTCTCAATCGAAGTATTTGAGCCTACCAGATTATTTATTATATATACTCCACGTGACTGCGTAAGTTATAGCCAAAAGAAATGAAAATGCACTGTGCTTCGCAAATACTGAAACCGTTTTAAATCCTGAACACAAAGTGGGGTACATTCAACGAAAGAAATCCATTCAAGTTCCAAAGGCTGTGTTAACAAAGTAGTGGAATATATTCTAATTTTTCTTAATACAAATCTTAATCCTCCTGTACCATGACTCAATCACCTGAGGACAATCTAAAAGCAACTGATACAAAGATAATCAAATAATTGATTATTCTTTACACTTTCTCATTAAGTGCATGTCAACATAATTGAAAGAAGACAGGTGTAGTCAGACGATAATCGGTAAAACTAGGAAAAGACAAAAACATAAAATCGTTGGAGAAACTTATCTGCACTTAAAAATGAGTCAAAAATGAGATTCCGTAGGTAAAACCCTATCGAACCTAGAAAGCAACACTCTGTGATCAGGATAAAAGTTGTATGGAAGCAGCTATCACAGATAACTGAAAACATGTCACTGACAGCGTTGCTATTGGTAAGCAAACATATGAACAAAATAAAATAACTAAGAAACACAAGTCGAAGTTTTTCAGGTTCCTCTGAAATACAAAGTTCTTTCTATCTTCCTATTTATTAGTCATAATCTATTATAATCAAGAATAGAGGTAAGTACTTCGACCTGATTGAATTTAAGTTGCAAGGAGTCAAAACGGGCACCGCTGATTGATTGAAAGCATGAAATAGTTGTACACGTATATGTGATGATCATTTCGAAACGAAATTATCCATAACTACAATTCGAATACTTAAGTTTGCATGCTCCTTGCACATATATCTACAGTAGAAACTAATCTGCCCCATTTTCGTCCCAAGAATAATAAATAATGCTTGAAACTAACGATAATTAAGAATATTGTGTAACTTTAAGATATTAAACAATTTATTCGCAGTGCCTATCATGTATCTCTCTCCAATTCTAAAAATGCATGTATAACTTCTACTGTAGAACAGCAAATTAACATCTGCAAACTTTAAACAAAACTGATTAGTCAATTTAAGAAAACTTATTCTATGCTGCTTTGATGCATAAGACAAGGAACAAAAACAAAAAACGTAATTTTAAAACAGCTTGCTTATTCTTATTGGGCTCCGTCCCTTAAACAAATGATAACCTAATCAGTACAGGATGGAAAAGAAAAGACGAATAGATTTCTAAACATCATAAACATGACATGAGCAAGTGGTATTAAGAAGACAGAAGTTAAAAACTGCTTGGAACTCTTCGTTAATAATATAAAGATCATTATCACACAATAATACTGATAAACAGCTTAAATTAGCAGTGAAATGCCATTCTTTAGCAGCAAAAACAGTGAAAAACAGTTAAAAAGATTGAGATTACCAGAGAAATAAAATCTATTTCTCTGTTAACAATAGAAGAAAGGAAACATTACTCCTTCTCCACTGTTTTCTATTTTTCCACTTCTACTCGTAAAAATATTTGCTGAGTAGCAGGCATATCCTTAGAAGCCTATTCCATTTCACCATATGTATGACCAACTAGAATGAATTAGCTCAGTTAAAAGCAAATTTCACAAAGAGAAGAAATAGAAATATGAAATGTCGCAATAAATAACTGCAAAGCGAAAACAGAAACATTTCTGGAAGTCTTTTTGTATCACTGAGCTCATATTGATCGAATTACTATTTCAAATTTGCCAAAATAGGATGACATTTGTAGCATGCAAATGAATAACAAAGTTCTATTGATTTATTATCAGTGTGCTCATCTGAGTTTCTCAGGAAATAGAGAATAGACCTTTAATAGGACATGCAGCACTGGAGTATAACTGCTGCGTAACCGCAATAGAATTTATTACGAATTGCAGGAGTTAGTTTTTGACTGAAAGTTATTCTAAACTACTGTGCACTACTATAACCATAAAGACAAAATAAAGTGCATAAAAAACATTTATTACACCTTGTTATCCTTCACATTTTTAGAAATAATTAATATTCAAGTGAGTGATGTTAGATTTGTTTACGTACCTATGACAAAAACCATTTATATTCGCTCTCGTAATGATGCAGTACTCTTATTTTACTGAAAAAAAAAAAAAAAACTAAGAACAAGCAACCAAGCAAATTTCGCTTAATACCTAGTACACCATCCAAATTTTACAAAGAAGCAATAAGGCATTGCGAGCAGCATCCTCATGAGCAGCCTCTTCGGTATTCCCACTTCCGTGACATACCTTGAAATCAATTTCTATTGAATTTACAAATTAACACATCAAGTATGAAAAAATAAGAATAGGCACAAGATTGATACTGCAATATTGTTGTGAAAATACGCGTATAAAGTTAAAACTTACGATAGGCTTATCAATTCCAATCGAAATAAGTGAAAAATATTGATCACCAATTCCATTCGAAGTCTAAACCACATCACGCTTAACTTGTTACATCGACAGTGAACAACCTTTAACCTAGTCTTATTTCTCCAACCAGTTCAACACCAATTAATTCATTATAACTGTCATACAGTATATCCAAAGCATCGCATACACTGAATTCTTTCCCTTATCTTGATTAATGGACAAAACGTATACCACAGGAAAATCGGTATAATTGACTGAAAATTTGTAATGTTCCGCTATAGATTCCAGATGATATCTAGCAGCTGAATATGCTGTGGATGACGACATCTCATTCAGAGATAACTGCTCCATCTGACGATCCATCAATAAAAACCCGTCATTCTCGGCTGAAGAAAATTGAGAAATACCTTCTGGCTACTCTAATATTCAAACATCAAAAAATAAATAAAACTTAATCAACAATTTATATCCAAAGGATTTAAACATGAAAATGCAAACATTCATGAAAAGCTTTTCGATCCCAACAAGGCCCGTTTCTGAATAGTTAATTAAAAAGAAACGCTATTAGGAAAGTAAAACTCTATTCAAAAATTTAAACATTCGGAAAAGCAATAATCTTCGTACTGATATAATCTTTCTACAAATGTAAATCATATTTTCAGATTAATTATAATACTTTTTTCCCCTATTTTTAGCGAGTGGATGATGTTACAGTATTTGAAAAAATCTTGAGCCATTTCAGCAATTTCTTTCTTCTCAACTTCGGTTAGCCATTTTTTCGAGTCACGGCCTTCTAAAATATACAAATCAGAAAGTTAAAAATTTACAGGAAAATCCCTAAATTGCATTGCAGAAGAACAAACAAACTTTTGCGAATCTTGTTGACGACAACTACTTCCGATTTCAATGGTGTTATCAAGGATGAAGGGTAGTTGCTGTCATCTGCAATAAAACGAATGTAAAAGGAGAAAAGAACTAGTATATCATATATTTAAAACTCTAGTGGTCAGATCCATCAATAAAAAGCTCAGAATCAAAAAAAAAAAAAAAAAAAAACGGCAAGCAACAAATAGAGGATACAGAGCAAAAGGCTAAAACATTTTTTTCCTTCTTCATTACTGTATATCTTTTTTCAGCTTCACTCTTATTCACTTCTAATGATTTCATTGCATTCATACGAAAGACCATTACAAGATCGCTTGATAAGCACAGAAAATTTTATGACGGTGTGCGGTTCCACATTGTATATGTATACGTCCATTCATAGCCATCTAAAGATTTCCAGTGCTTGCCACCAAATATCTTCATAAACTTAATCCTA